ATCCTATGGAAACGTACTTGCTTCTTGATTTATTCAAAGGCAATCTCTTCTCTCCCAACAATATTGATTTATGTTTATTCTCATGATGTTCTTTCAGATTATATCTAACTCCCGAGTCACTGGTAGGAACACTTGATGTATAGTAGCCCTGCCCACTTGAATTCACAGTTGATTTCGACAAGTCCATTTCAGAATAATATGTGTTTCACAACAAGAATTCGAAAACTGAGTGAAGGATCTCATTGTGATAAGTTATATACCTTTGAATTTGAGAAGTGGGGGTATGATTAACGAATCATCACATTAATCATTATGAATCATGTTGCACACATGTTCCCAATTGCTCAATCATCGAAATTAATGAGTTCGTTGATTAATATAAATTAGTCTGATGAATCATGTTCCACATGTTCATAATTGCTCAGTCATCAAAATCAATGAGTTCGTTGATTAATATCAATTGATCTGATGAATCATTATGGACCAATGTACTTGATTGTTTTGATGAATGAGTTGATTTATTGATTATTCTACACTTTCCCATGTTGATTGACCAAATGATGAATTAATTGATGCATTGTTTTGTTAATCTACAATTCGTATGTCCACTTTTGTTTCAATGGATACAATTATAATCATATTCCCGTGGGGGTATTCCCTATATATATAAATTCATTCTCAGTTTATATTCCATATATGTGTTCGAAATGAATGTGGACGATGCATTGAATGTTGACGATGAATTCTCGGAATCAGATGAGATCGAGTTGGATGGAGAACAAGTGATCCGAATCCAATATAGTGTCGACAGTTTGCAGTTTCTCAACGGGTGGTCACAAGACTATGTCTGCCTTATTCAACATTATTATCGAATAACCATGTTGGAAGAAGAAAAATTTTGTACGAGCTGTTACTTCGACACAGTGGCAGAATACCCAGAAACCAATATTGACAGTAAACAAGAGTCTTTACATATAACAAATTTTCCAGTACACCTGGTAGCATATAGGGATACTTGCTACATTTGTAGTGTTCCGATATATATATATTGTTTAACTAGATTTTGTCTATTGTGCAATAGCTGAAAGATTGATTTCCAATAAGATATATTTTCATTTGATACCATTTTTATGTTCCATCTGTGTCTAAGAGAGAATAATACAATTGAATTGTTATTTTTAATACTCGAAATTCCAATAAAATTTATTCTCAGCCATATTTTTCCATTCATTATAGTCTCCAACATACAGTATATTTTGTATGGTGTAAATATCACAATTATCGTTTGTCTTACTGAATAATCAATATACAGGGTGTACCTAAATAACACCGGAAAAATTCGAGATAGGTTTCCTTGTGACATTCTAGCAAATAAAGTTTATATAAACATGTGTCCCAACTTTCTACGTTTTTGAGATATAGGATGTTGAAGTTGGAAGTATTAATTGTTTTTATTTATAACCCCCCTGTATAAGCTTTCATGGTGCCAAAATTCAGTATAGATGGGGACAGAAAAAGTCCCAAAATTTCAAAATGATTCTAAATGGGATTATTGAGTAATCTCAATGGAAGTCTCGAAAACACCTACATTTAAATTTGGAGTGACAACGAATTCTTATTGTTTCCTCAAAAACCAAGCTAGATACAAAAATCACACAGAGAATGAAAAAGTTGTTATTTCGATAGTTCAATCTGATAAAAATATGAAACGAAGCCACTTAAGACACATGTTTATATGAACTTTATTTCCTGAAATATCACGAGGAATCACCCCTTGAATTTTTCCGGTGTTATTTAGGTACACCCTGTATAGTAGCTGGTGTCACCTCTTTTGAAAATAACCAAGCCTACAAAATTGTACAACTCACTCCCTCTGTTATAGAAACACTCGAATTGAACCAAACAAAAAGCCGCTCCCAACTTTGTTACAGAGATCATGAATAATTAACTATTAATTGGAGACATCTGGCCATGCATCTCTGGGTCAGTTAATTCAGTCAGTTTTCCGGTCGGCGATCGTAACATGAAATCATGTTTTTTTCGTATTGTTTCCATGAAAGAATTATTTCAGTATATCGAAATGTGAGAGAAAAGTGATGTTTTGTATTTCTTATGTGAATGAAAAAAAGTGTAATAGTTCTTTGTATCAAGATGGATTTGAAAGGATGTACCTATCGAAAGTGATAGAAAAGTGAGTATTTGAATATGTTCATACATCACACAGTTTATTTCTTCGAAACGTTCATTTACCAAATTCTACTAGTTAAGTAATGATTTTCAATCTCAAACACTTTGATTCAAAATAATTCCAGTAATGCAAAGTCATTTGTATTATAATTTTATTTGGTGAAAATACGAGTCATTCTAGTACCGTTCAGAGATCGCATACCAAGAAAACTAAAGTTTCAACAAATTCAGAAAGTATCAATCATAAAACATTTGAAAAATACAAATTACATGTTTTAGTTAAAATTTCCCTTATAATATCAACAAACTAATTACATTACTTTTCTGAGTTTTGTAGAAACAATTACAACTTCATCTAAATCTTTTATAACTTCACAAATCTTTCTAAGTTTTTTTTGATATTTCTTCTTCTTCTTCTCAAGCTTTTTCCTTATTTCTAGTTTTCTTTTCACTAATTCATCCATATCCCTCTGATTTTCTTTTCGTATATCAGCAAGGAAATCCGCGGTAGTATTGAGATCCCCATCTTGTATAGTATATTCTGAATCTTCGTTATCTGTTTCATTTTCCGCTTCAGACTTTTCTTCATCTCGTTCTTCAATTATTGAATTTCCACTTTCTGCTTTTTTCGTTTCACGGTCATCACCTTCCTTTTTAATGAAATTTGCATCCGTTTCTTCATCTCCTCCGTCATCTTGAACTTCTTCGTCATCCGACGAAACATCTGAGATGTCTTCAAATTCTGGCTGCACTAACACTTTTCCACGTCGAGGGGTTGATTCTGCTAATGGCCGAAACGGCATTGCTTTGTGATCACTAAATGAGCCGCTTACGAATTCGACACTCTGGTTTAATTGTGGTGAAATATTTCGAAACGTATCTGAGTTTTTGTCACGTTTGAGATACTGTAAAATATCAATTTTTTTCCTCTGAATTGGTACGGTCAAAACTTTTGTCTTCATTTTTTCAGTATCTGAGTTTTTTTTAAATTTGTTGAAACTTTAGTTTTCTTGGTATGAGATCTCTGAACGGTACTAGAATGACTTTGACTGCTTGTGCGAGTACTATTTATTTGTTCAGGGCTAATCCCCCATCAAGATCAAAACATTTACCAAACAACTCGCATCTTGCAAATTTACTGCACCATATGGGTACAATTACATATTCATTGTTTCAATTTTCCTATCAGTACGATTAATTTTTCGCTTCAAAAATTAAATCAACTGTAATGAGATAAAAAGGAATACATGACCTATCTTAACTGAAACTAAATGGGTCTAATTAACCATGAATAAAACATTCATTACTACCAATTCACCAAACTCGCATCTTGCAAATTTATTTCACCCCATTTTGATATCAGCGCGATTAATTTTTTTCGCCTACATATGTTGAACATCAGTTAAGACATGACCTATCCTAACTGAAACTGAATTGGACTAATTAACCATCTGCTGGTATATTAAAGATGATTATTCCACATGGCACAATTGTCTCATATTTGCGAAACTCGTTTCAATTTACCTATTCGTTATACTCTCGCTAATAAGAATCACCATCACTTGCTGAATAATTTGCGAATTAAATCCTATTTGAAAATATTAACCCACTTTAAGCCATCTGTTGAAAAATAATTATTTCAATGAACGTCATGAACGTCTCATGAAAAGCCTTCGCGTTAGTTATTTGTGGAAAGAATAAATATTTCTGCTTTCTTATGAAAAGTTGAATAGGTAGATGCAATATTGAAGATTTTTTTCTTGGGGCGTACAAAAGTAATCCCTATAATATTCGAAGAACATCGTGCTAGGGAAAGGAGGTAGGTATTGTGATTTTTTAGCTTTTGGAAGTTCTTGGCAAATTATTGCCTAGAGTAGAGTGTTGTTCGACATATTTGAATGAAAGGATGCGCTGACTGGGTTTGTCGGTCCTGGCTGTTATTGATAGTGATGAAATGATATAGCACAGATATCCCGCGGAATATTGAAGAGTGATTAGTCTTAAATGAATTATATAACTCATTCTCGTATTTTCACGTACTTAATGATTAATTGAATGAAATGCTGTGATTGGCTGCCTGATGCCGTGATGCCGGTAATGATTCTCTCAATATATATCGAGCGCTGTGATTGGTTGCCTGATGCCGTGATGCCGGTAATGATTCTCTCAATATATATCTACTAATATATTTTTGTGAATATATCTGAAATTGTGGAAGGAAAAGGTAGGGTTATATATATATTTGTATTGAGAACGCCTAGGACTATTCAACTGTGCCAAAATATACGGGGTGTTCCATTAGAAAAAACATAATTGGCTGCCGTATCTTTTCAACGTCACCCTGTATAAAATTTCTGATGATGCCAATGGATTCCGCGCATCATACTGTATAAATATACGTTTGAAATTTTTTGATACCTCTCACCGTAAAGTAGTCAGAAAATAAAATCGAAATCGGCAAATTTTCAATTTCCCCCTGTATCTCTAAAACGAATGAAGATATCGAAATTTTGATTGTACCATTCGAGTTTTCTCCAAAATCGAACCCGGAACATGTATATCGGTTTTTCGATAACTCCTCTAGTTATTGAGATAGACGGTGAAAACGCCCAATTTTGCCCACCCTGTACTATTGAAATAGTTCCCTTTTTCTGTGAAACACCCTGTATAATGGACAATCACATGAGAGTTTAGAGAACACGATACAAAGAACATAGTTTCATGATGAATTCAAAAAAACATAAACAATAGTTATTTATTATACAAGGGGAAAAAATGTTTTCTACCCGATTTTTCAAAAATGTATATCTTACCAGGATGTAAAAGATCATCGATGTCGGTTGGAGCAGCTCTTGTCTCTCTCACTGTACTTTCCACGAGCGCAGTATCATCACCTTGCTCTTCCATCAAAAAATCAAAAGATGCAGCTGCATATGCTGCAAAAACGACCAGAAGCGTACAACAAAACTTGAACATACCCATTTTAAAAAAGATTCCTAAGACACCGAAAATAAGTTGAGAGGCAACCAGCAAATAACAGAAGACGATATGGTTTGAGGTATATTTATTGCCTTTACTTCACGTTCCGCATGTTATTCAGATCAGTTGCATTCATTTTTATAACTGATTTTTCATGCTAGCTACACGTTATTAGTTCTGTGGTTTGACTGTTATACAATATCGTCAATTCAATAATGTATCGCAACTATGTTCAATCAGGAAGCATATCTGATTGTGATAGCAATAAAAGAAGAAAAACTGAGTAAGAATAAAGTCTTCACATAAGTATCAATAATTTACAAAGATATATTTTCATTTTCAAACAAAATATAGAATGTTCACTTTGTTGGTGGCAATCGAACTTGCTGGAGCTCATGTCGCCGTTCCAGAATAACAATGACGTAACTGCAACATTTTTGAGAAAATGAATTATACCCACCAGAAGATGGAGGAAAGCTGAATCTATATGGTAAAATAATGCCATAATTTTAGTGTAATATTTGGCCGTTTGATGTAAGTTACGTCGTTAATTTGTATCAAATGGCACTATTTCACTGGAAGAAAACTGTCGCAACGGTTAGTTGTGAGGAGTTTTTCATAAAAAGTTGACGCAAGTTATTCTTTCCCAGAACAAAAACACCGTAAATGTATCTCGAGAGTATTAGATGTGATGCTTAATACATAATTTTGGAGAAATATTGACCTAAGTGTATTTTGAGTCATTTTTCATTTCTCAATATAAAAAAAATAATGACATAACTATCCCATGCGTCATTTTCTCCTTTAGAATACTATCTGGTTCTAATCGTAATTGCACTTTCAGTCTATATAACATCGGATTATTCAGATTCTGAATGACCCAACTGTTCTTTGGAACAAATTAATCTTCCATCTGTTATCAATGCGACATAAAAATAACAATATAGCAAATTATGAATGAAATTGTAACTTTTTCATAGTAATCGGTCATCCTTGTAGATTATCATAAATTTTCTGTTCAAATCTTCACATATAAATTCCAAACTGATTCATAATATCGATGGAAAATATTAGGATATTGATATTCTCAATTAATTTCAGAGACATCTTTCAAGCCTAACGAAATAACATAGATATTTCAGGTCGAGGAAATACGACGGCTTGGAACTGTTATCCTAAAACAACTTTTTTTCACAATATTTGCATATCTTATTTGTTTTTCATAGATGCATGCAGATAAAACATTTTTATTTTCTACTGTTGCAACTGAAAGTTAGGGGCAAAGATTTGTGAAATGAAAAGCTGTTTTAGTATGTAAGTTCAGAGCCATCAAAAGAAGACGTTCTGAGATTATACACTCACCCTCAAACTTGAATCTCGAATTACAAATGTTCAGTTTCTTATTTACTTATTATTCATTTGAAATTTCGAACTCAGGGTTCTTCTGATCAAACAGTTGCATATTATTTTTCAGTTCCTATTTTTCCTTACAGTTGGATTATCATCTGAGGGTTGTTTATAGGTGTTTGGAAATTTAGACAAAGTTTCAGTTATAATTGAAATTATCGCCTACATAAGTGTAATTCATCCGATTGAAATTATTTTCCTTTGAGTACATGATTCGAAAAATTCTCTACATCTTTGTCCAATCTATTTAAGAGGATTATAGTTCCTACCATTGCTCATGGGTGAACAGAAAATATCACCTGGAGTTGAAATCAATGGGATCCTCCATATGTTTTCATTTTCAAAACCAAGGAAATCATTAAAAGTGTTGACACAATTGACTAAGATGTTTTTCTTTCAGTATGATAGAGACATAACTTCAAATAACCATATCAAATATCAAAATATCATCATTTTGAACATACTATATTGACGTATGAGATTATACTCCCAATATATCGAAGGTTCAAACTCATAGATGGGATATTTTGAATTCTTTTTTTCCTTCTTCTTTAAAATTTACTTTTTTGCATTTGCGTCATTATAATTCTGGAGCAGCGATGTGTGCATTCTGTGTGGGCTTTGTTACTGGCTCCATACGCCAGTTCAGGAACAGCACTGTTACTTGGAACGCAATTGTGAATCGTTCGTAAACCGGACAAGAGAACAAAAATAATAATTCATATCGTCCTTCCAATGAAATCATATGACGATGATCGTTGCAAAAATATACCTATCCAGACATGTACCTGATCTATAGCTATAGAAAATAAATAAAGAATTAATTAAATGTAGATAAATATGGTTGGTAATCCAAATATGGATAGTAAATTAAATGCTACTTTACTATGTAGAGGTAGGTATAGGTACACTATAATATATAATACCCATAGCTTTGTATAAGTAATTTGAAATTGTCCTTTAATATGGGTGGTTATTTTACCTGGTGATTTTTCAGGGTACGAAGAGCTATACCTACCTATAAAATATTTTCTACCAAACAGAAAATGCATATTTTTCCTTCCCATCAATATGTTATTTCCATAATGCAGTTTAGTTGATGATACATTCAATGGAAGATATTCTTCACCACAAAACCAAAGGACGAACAAGAGTTCCTGTAGAACGACTAAAAATACAAGTTCTTACCTATTCCTATTACCTATTGAACTTTTGGTGATATTCCAGAAGACATCGATATATACAGGGTCATTGATTAAGAATAGGAAAACTCTGAACTACAGATAGTAAACACAAAAATAATGATGCCTGATGAGATGTTATTGCTGGTTTAGGAGATACAGGGTGTTCTAGGGGGAGATTTTATTTCAAAATTTCACAATAACTTTGTTAGTTTTAACAGCATGAACATGAAATCTTGTATTTCTAGGTTTTCTGACATGAGGAATATGAATTTGCAACTTATTTTATGATTTCTCAAAGAGGGCGCTAGTGGCACTCTGTTATTTCGATAATTTACATCATATCTTCTATGTCAATTCATTGATGATCAAAATAAGTGGAAAATCTGAAAGATCGTTCAATTTCACATGAAAAATGTACTCCTTATCAACTGTCTAGCTTCAACGGTGTTTGTGTTATTCGCTCTTGAAGAGATTAATTTTCCACTTATGACATTTTAATAATTTTATTCATTAAATTGAGAATGGGAAATCTCTGAACTACAGCCAAATATGGAGATTTTGTCCAACATGCCGCATAAAAATATTGCTGGTTTGAGAGATACAGGGTGGTTTAGGAGAAGATTTTATTTCAAAATATCCAAATTTCACGTCGACAATTTTCTGATTTCAATATAATGTAATATCTTCTCGATATTGATTCGTTATTTCCCCTGTCACAGAAAAAAATAGTGTATTATACACGGGAAAAATATTTGATTTTAGCTCACGTTCAATTGTCTCCCTCCGCTACGCGTCGGGAATATAGCTATTGAGTAAAACATGAATAATCACCCTGTTCTTTTTCATTTCGTGTTGTTGTTTGTCTAGCATTATCCATCATTTCCTCTATCGCTCAGGCCAATTTCGGAAACAACCTGTAGAAGCAATCTTAACGCGATGTAGGCATCAGGGCCTATTTTTGATTTAGTAGGGACCAAGACCCAAACAAAATTGCGGGCCCCCAATATCGTATATGACTTTCCAATAAGAATTTTCCTGCTCATTTTTGGAAACTTCAGTTTTTTCTTGTTTAATGATGAAAAAAAAAGTTAGATAAAAGTTCAATTTCAAATTCATCAATTGATAAATGGGAAGGCGAATAGGGCATCCAAAATTTTCTGGATCCAATCCCGACAGAGCAGAGACTTTTTATTTAACCCTTTATCGGCCACTTCTGATAAAACCATGGGCTAAAGCGTTTGACTGCGTGGGACATGAAATCCTGCTGCTAAAACTTTTCCATTGTGGATTCCGGAGAATAGTCTTAGAATGGTTCAGATCTTATCTTACTGATGGTAGGAGTCAAAATATAACATTGAGCAACAACCCTTCTGATGGTAGAGAAATTGTACGCGGAGTTCCTCAGAGGTCAGTCCTAGGCCCAATTTTATTCTTGCTATATATAAACGATATGACAAAACTTGATATATCTGAAGCATTTACCTTATTTGCGGATGACACCACGGTACTTTGGCGTAACAAAGATTCTGATACTTTGACTCGCGATCTATCCACTCTGATTTAGAATAAATTGAAAAATGGTGGGAATCGAATATGTTATCGCTAAATGTTTCTAAAACAAATCTGATAACATTCAAGTGGGACTTAGAACAAGTAATACTAGGTGAACGCATGATTGAAAGTAATACCTGTGACTAAATTTCTTGGTATATTCATTGCCAGTAATTTGAAATTTGATACGCAAATTACTGCTTTGAAAAAGAAACTGTCATCTGGTTGCTTTGCCATAAATGTCATATCTCCTGAACTCGGATTTTCAGCAGCAGTAACAGTAACTGCATACTACTGATTTTTGGAGAGTCATCTCCGGTATGGAATTCCTTTCTGGGGCTCAGGCAGCCAGACCTTGATGCAAAGTATAATCGTTATCCAGAGAAGAGCTTTGAGAATAATATTCAAATTGAAGATGCGTGACTCGTGTAGGCAAATTTTCTGCAGAATCAAAATGTTAACAATTTTGGAACAATCCATTTTAGGGACTGTCAGTTGAGTTATTTCACTGGAATGTGTAACCATATGGTTACAATATGTAAAATCGTGAAAGATATATTTATCAACATAAAACTACTGTAATTGATAAGGGGTATGAAAAATGGTGTAGCCATATGGTCACTCAAACCAATAAAGGGTTAAAAAACGGGTTATACATTTTCATTTTCACGATTCACTGCTGGTAATGTTAACAGCAAGTTGGTTCGTCCACACATACCAAGAAAGTACATTATGTACCTACTTATACATAGGTAAAATAAATGGTTTCCATAATATTTGTTGACAAAATCTTATATTTAACAAAATTATTAATTAGGTAGTGCAAAAAAAGCGAGTTAGAACCCGATAATATTTTATGAATACTAAGACACATAACAACACAACAATAAAACATGAAAGGCAGTTCTGCTTGTTCTTGAGGAACAGCGAACCAAATGAAAAATTACTAATAAAAAAATGTATTTTTAATTTGGAATTTCGAAAAACATTGATGATGGCTAGAACTGGGTTGAAACAAGAGCTTTCAGAATCTCATGAAACGTTTTAAAGAAAAATGACGATGGTTCTATAATAAAGAGAAACCAATATCATCACATTGAATCTCATCAAAAGTTGTTATGGAACACTGTACCACAGATTATAAGGTTTGTTAATCTGTGACTGTACCAGGTGATTCAATAAGGATGACGAGATTTTGTATCTGAGAAGCTAAGAATTTTGTCAACAAGGACTGTATTAAGAAAGGAATGTTTGACGAATGAGATAAAAAATCATACATGTCATTCTGGGGTTCTTACCGTCCTCGCTAAGGGGCTTGTTTTATATTAGACTATTAGTTTCTGAGATACAATACCTCGCCACCCTTATTGAATCACCTGGTACAGTGAACACTCTAATACTAATCTAAATCGGATTTTATTGAATTTCATTCATCAGATACGGCTTATTTTGGGGAATTATGAGGGCCTTAATTACCGATGGCAAAGTTTGCGTCCCGAGGGCCTCTGGCCCGAGAGACAGCAATTGCCAGAGGTTATTAAGGCTCTATAATTCCCGTGATACATAGATAATTTTATTTCTGACTGATTTCATTCATTAGATACCTTCCCGATTGGAAGTTAGACATGTTTTTCCGTATAGTTTCAATGTCATCAGAACGTCAGATGATGATCTTGACTACCGCGAATAGGAGATTCCTTATTGCTACGTTATTGCATGGTTGTTGCTATGCATTTCTTATTTAATTTTAGCTAGAGGGAATTATAGCATCTATAACATCCCAAGGGAGTTATGACCCTCATTATAGATATCGTAACTATGGCGATATAAGCTTATTTAGAAATAATAATAATTTTCAACCTTTTTCCGGGCATCCCTTTACACCGGGCCCAAGGCCCGGGCCTTATATGCCTTATGGTAATATAGGCCATGGTTCAAGTGAACAAATCTGTTTGGTGTGTGGAACTTGGGTGCACCAGTGCTTAAAAAGTAATCAATCAACTGGCGAAAATATGCAGAATTTCAAGTGCAGTTCATTAATGATAAATAAAATAGGTACAAATCTCCGAAATTTGTTGCGCCAATCAAAAGGTCATCTCGTTTCCGAAAACTGGATAAACCTGTAATTGAATGCTAATCGTCAGTTCCCAGTACCTATCTGACTGAAATCAATGATATTCATTAACTCAGATTATGTATGCGTCGAGACCCCAACACTTTCTATCTTATTAAATGAGGACATTTCAAGACAACTTTCAGTCGTGTTCGGTGGGTGCCATAGCTGGTCATTTTCTTATCTCACAGTGTAACAAATATATTTTTTTCCTTAAAATATGAGACACTTCCAGATCCTTGTGGCAGGATTAACATTAACGTTAGCAAGTAAGTTTTTACACATTTTTGTTTTATACAGAGTGTTTCATTTGTAAAGGGACCAATTACTCATGCTCAATTTTGATTAGTCTGATGACGTCCTTTATATAACCAGGGTACGGGGTGGTTTCTTTATTTTGCTCGTTCATTTTTTTCGAGAAATGAACCGTTTTCGAAATAAATAGGCATATTCGTTCTAAAACATGTTAAATTTGCCTACGTTTCGCTTGAATTTTATTCTTGGAGAAAATTAACCCAACTTCAAAAACTAAAAAAACCTTCAGCTGCAACCCTTCTTGCATTTTCTACGAATTTCGTCCTATAATAAAATTCAATCGGAACAATACATATAGAACGGATAATATGCTTATTTATTTCGAAAACGGTTGGTTTCTTTGAAAAAATTTAAAGGCAAAGAAAGCCTCTAAACTGAACGATACATAATTCCTTAGCTGGAAGATGTCAGATGAGGCGTACCACAAAAAAGTTCTTGGGGGATAAGGAAGCCTCGACAAAAAGCGACGTGGCTCGGCTGTGGACTCCCAGGATAAAAACAAGTTGATCCAGGCCAACTTACCTATATCCAAAATCGTCTCGTTGAGTTGGTACAAGGCGTTGAAGTTTTTTTGGAAAAAAATAATTTTGCTCATAAAAAGAATATAGGCTGAGATCGATTTTCATAATTCTCGGCATGGCATGTTCTGTGACTGTAAGTCACGTATTGAGATGTTTTTGATCATCATCAGTGACCAGCAAGTGTTTCAAACAACCATGTTGCCGTACAAATTTGGTGATAACTTTTCAGAGGTCGGACTGGAAACAGTTTTGTTTTCTAGAAAGAGATTTCCTTCAGAAATATTTTTTTTATCTTGTTGATTTTTGATAAGTCTCGAGGTTCATTTGTAAATAAATAATTTCTGATCTGATGCATCTATTGCATTTTTTAGAAAAATAATCGCGTTGGGACATATGGCTTGACTGTAGACTCCTGGGATAAAAATAAGTTGATTTTAGCCAACTTACCTATATCCAAAATCGTTTCGTTGAGTTGGTTCAAGGCGTTAAAGTGCTCACCTTAGGTCCTGAATAGTTATCGCTAAATTTGTAAAGCGATAGTTCTTGCAAAGCCCGCGAGGATCAGCAACATATCAGTTTGTTTACAATGAGAATACATTGTACCCATGATCAATAAACAGCCCGAGTAATTAGATTAATTTTCAAAAATGCGCAGGATGCATTATATGAGAAATTATTTATTTGCAAAAGAACCTCGAGACTTTTCAAAAATTAACACGATACAAAAAATATTTATGAAGGGAATATCTTTCTGGGAAAACAACTGGAAGTTTCCAGACTGACCTCTGAAAAGTTATCACCAAATTTGTTCGGCAACATGGTTGTTTGAAACACTTGTAGGTCACTGATGATGATCCAAAATAACTCAAAACGTGACTTATTTTTTTCCGAAAAAACTTCAACGCCTTGTACCAACTCAACGAGACAATTTTGGATACAGGTAAGTTGGCCTAAATCAACTTGTTTTTATCCCAGGAATCCACAGCCAAGCCATGTCCCAACCTTTTACAGACACCCTGTATATGTATGCATGCATGAAAATTGTGAAAGATGAATCAAAGTCAGTGATTAAAAACTTGTAGGCGTACAGGATTTTGTCGATTTTGAAGAAACTTCACAGTAGATTCAGCATTTCGTGGCCTTAAAGCTTCAATATTATACTTATTACACAACTGATTATAGCAAAAGAATGGCCTCCTGGTAGGTACGGCGCGACAGTACTTTCACTTTTGTAGTTATAGGTAGGCTAGAAAGTGTTAAATACATTACGAAACAGTATGGAAGAGATCGAAGCTTCAGATTTAGTATTCAGACAAGAAGGCATGTTTCCTGTCCTGCTATCACGAAGACCTTGATTGAATACGTAGGTATTAGCCGTGAATGAATCACATCACATTCTTCTGGTGTAGCCAGCTTTAACATTCAATTGCGTTTTCAGCATTCCATTTATTTAATAGAATCCACAACCAAGAATTATTGTTGTAACATGAAACGAATTAAGATTTCTTTACTAGGATTATAAAGACATTATTCACGATTAACTTTATATTTATTCAATTGAATCCACATCAAAGAATTGTTGATAAAGGAAACGAATTAAGATTCTTCTACCAGGAAATCCAGGAATATGAAGTTATCATTATTAATGAATAACTTTTTTCTCTTTTGGTTCGAACAGGGATATACCAACACTTTTTATGTGATACAGCACCAGGGTGTATTAAACTTGAATGTTAGTACAGACTGTCCCATTTTTTATGTAATTACGGGATATCTGATACTCATTATCAATGATACAGTTTAGCGGTTTTCGCGAACGTTGTTTTTTTTTGTGAAACTCTCGATACCGCAAACAAAATTTCCACAACTCACTTCGTTTTTGAGATAGAGGGCGAAATTGAAAATGAAATAAGCTCTTATTATGCACTGAGGAAAATTGTGCTATTAGAGTTTTTGCTGAAATATTTATTCTTATGGCTTCTTGCCCTCTCTATAAGCATTTGTCAGACATCTCTTGCTTGATCAATCATTCACAGTTGGGCCCTTGATGCAAACTCATGTACAGGACGACAATCTCGACGACACGACAGTTACGAATACTTCCCCTCTTGAATTCAATTCATTATTTAAAATCTGAATCTGAATTCAAATATAACATGAAAACATTTTTGAACAAATAAAACAATCTTCTGTGTCCCTTTCAGTGCTTTCGTTATCTGAGTGCTTCAGTTATTACCAGGATTGATGGAATGATAAAGGTGAGATTTTTCGAGGTATTTCGACTGAAATTCAAATATTTTACATTCAACATTTTCTTCTTCTTGGTACGTACTATGGAACTTTAAAATTGTCAAATATGTTCCAGAGCTTCTCTTATAGTGTGTGGGTCTAAAAACTTATTGTGAGCAAAATTGTTCAGGTTAAGAAATTATTTGAATGATTTTACTGGTAACATTTTGTTTTCCTGTACGCATCTGTAATAACTTGCCTAGTTTTCGAAATACAATGGTTTCAGAAAGTTACAGAAAAATTCTTTTTTCCATTAATTTCTCAAAAACCTTTTGTTTTTCCTGAAGGTGCATGAATCGATTGATCTATTGAATTTCAAAGATCATTGTCCCAAAATTTCCTTCAGGAATCAATAAATTGTTATTCATACCAAACATCAGGATGGACATTATGGGAGGTGAAATTGGATTTCAGTCAAAATTCCACCTTTCTTGATGACAACAATCCTGGAAAATAACTGAATAATTACAGCAAGACGGTCATGCCACTATCTATATGATCACCCATCAAGAGTTGCAAATTTCCCTACCTACGATTTTAACATTGCCCTACTTCCATCATTAGATGCACTCACTAGCGGTAGCAAAGTCAGATATCTACTACAGAAACATCGTCTAATAGCGATTATACAGATGCACTCGCTAGTGGCAGCAAGGTTCTATATCTAATAATAGCAGGTGGGTTATAATCAGCAAAGTCGACTCTATAATCACAGGTGATAACTCGCTTGTCCCCTATGCTATGAGAGTTTCTTGCTGGGGTAATTCGATTTCCTCAGTGTGCAGATATGCAAATGCAAAGTTAAGATTTTTTAAATGAAGCACCCTGTATATTTTTTCATATTTGAAACGATGATGTTTTGCGCTTTCTGAAAATATAAAACACTCATATGTTATTCTGAGTGTTAGCTATTGAATTAGATCTCAGATCAACAAAAGACCCTTGTTGATCTGAGAATTAGATAATGTCTAGTTTTCCAGTGGATTTTTCATCGATGGGCCTTGTAAAAATATGTGGCAACATTGTCCATATCACAAATTTTCATATTTGATGTTCTGATATTGTTCTACCAGATAATGAAGAGCATATTTTAGAATAACTGCGAATAAAAATTGCATGTCCTTCGAACAGACAAGAGTGCAGGAAAGTCTTCATATCAATTTCTACTTTTTCACGATACAGCAAACAGCATTTTCACATCTCAATTCGTTTTTTAGATACAGGGTGAGATTGAAAATGTTGCATTTTGGGACCCCTCTTGTATCTCACTAATATCTTTCACCTTATCGAGAAATTAGTAACTGCCATTTACACATTTTTTCACGTAGAATCCAGTGGCGTAATCAGATTTTCTAAATAAGCTATAATTATGCAGATATGCAAATGCAAAATTATGATTTTTCAAGCGGAACACCCTGTATATTTTTTCATATTTGAAACAATGATGTTTTGCGCTTTCTGAAAATATATAACACTCATATGACATTCTGAGTGGATTTTTCATCGATGGGCCTTTTCAAAATATGTGGCAACATTGTCCATAGTTCTACCAGATAGTGAAGAGCATGTTTTGAAATAACTGCGAATGAGAATTGACCTTCGAACAGACAAGAGTGCAGGAAAGTCTTCATATCAATTTCTACTTTTTCACGATACAGCAAACAACATTTTCACAACTCACTTTGTTTTTTAGATACAGGGTGAGATTGAAAATGTTGCATTTTTGGACTCCTCCTGTATCTCAGAAATCATTCACCTTACCGAGAAAGTAGTTACTGCCATTTACACATTTTTTCACGTAGAATCCAGTAGCGTAGTCAGATTTTCGAAATAAGATATGCAAATGCAAAATTATGATTTTTCAAGCGGAACACCCTGTATATTTTTTCATATTTGAAACAATGATGTTTTGCGATTTCTGAAAATATATAACACTCTTTTGATATTCTGAGTGTTACCCATTAAATCGATGGGCCTTGTAAAAATATGTGGCAACATTGTCCATATCACGAATTCTCATATTCAATCTATTGCTATTGTTCTACCAGATAATGAAGAGCATGTTTCAAAATAACTGCGAATGAAAATTGTCCCTCGAACAGAAAAGAGTGCAGGAAAGTCTTCATATCAATTTCTACTTTTTTCAGATGCTCAATTCAAATGTCCAGCCAAAGATGGACAATACGAAGATTCTCGACAGTGTGATAAATATTATGAGTGCATCGATGGAGAAGCCACCGCTAAATTATGTCCAGATGGTTTGGTATTCGACCAACTCATCAGGAAGAGGAACAAATGTGATAATCCTTTCAACGTAGACTGCGGAGACCGAACTGAACTACGTAAGTCAAAAATAGTCTCTTCCTTCCTTTCTTATCCTTCCTTCCTCATTTTCTTCCTTCCTCATTTTTACGAAACTTCAGAGGGTGATTTATCTGGTCGTTTCAAGAAAAAAAATATATAGAACCACGCGACGGCAGTCGTCAAGGGCGGAAATAGTAATTTTCCTTACAAGTGCGGAAAGTGATTCTTTCCCGCACGTGACTGCCGTTGACACGAACGACGCGAAGCAGAGTTCGGGCAAGCAGTCGAGTGCGGGAAAGACACTTTCCGCATGAGTTAGGAACAAGATTTTTTCTACAAGCGTAGGAAATTGATTGATCTATTCAATTTATTATTCATGCATGTAGGAACAACTGACAAGAGAAATATATTCTCTATCTACTGATTATTAGTAATAGCTATTGTGAACTTACAGTTTGACGCATTATGTAGGTCAATTGCGGAAGCCAGCACCAAGCTCATAAGGTGTTTGGTCTCTAGGTTTCAGACACTTCTAGGAAATAAGCCAAAAATACTTCTTCTTTATTTGGTATTTTCATTTCTTTATTGTTGCACCATTCAATAAAATGCGTGTATAGCTACTCATAGTACCTTTTTTAAGACTTCGTTGGCAATAACGCATCTGTATCGCATCCCTTTATGGCTGGAAGTTTTTGATCACATTGTGGCAATTCCACTGAATCAAAAATGACAGTAACGCTGTGTCTGTCACAATTACAAACTTATTTGAGGTTTGATTGGCATGACAACAATACTCGTTTCCCATCAGATCAATTGAAATCTATAGGCGGATTTTTATAATAATCAATTTTTATTTTTCAATATTTCTTGATTCTCACAATAAATAGTGCAATTTGATTGATGATTCTGAACAAACATACTCAATACTGCAACAAACAAACCTAAACTTTTATATTCCATCACCAACCACTTATATTTTGCGATCTTATCATATCTTTTTTTTCCCCGCATTGTTGCGGGTATAGTAATTTTCCTAACAAGTGCGGAAAGTGATTCTTTCCCGCACGCGACTGCCGTTGACACGAACGACGCGAAGCGAGTCTTGTGATATCAAATTGTATCAACCTTGGTAGGTAGTAAAAATTTTGAAACATTGGTATTTGCAATATATGATTCAAGTTCCCAAAACTCTCAAAACATATCCATCAGAAGTATTACAGAACTCAAGACAAAGAATCCATAAAATGCACCTATAATCTAATCATTTTATTGCATTATAATAATCTCCAAACAATATAAAATGTTCTTACCTTCCATCGTTCTTTAACTACATGCCCTGGCTGCAATAGATCTTCAGATGTCATGATTATATTATTGTTTTGATCTGTAGAATCTAGGTGAACTTCCCAGCTCAACTTCACTTCAGTGTGTGCTCAATTTTACATAAATGTGCAAAAAAAAATAATTTCTAATTTTAAATATTCTCATACATTTTCTTCCATCGAATACAAATTTTGAACCAAAGTATTACTCTGTGTATAAGAAAGAATTCGAAATTTCCAAAATGTTCCAACCAACATTACTTGCTCCTACCAAGGCAAACGATTCAAATTTCAAATGGGTTTCCAGAGCCGGCCCAGCCCAAAGGCGTGTGCCCACGACAAAACGGCTTCTTCGCACATGAAAACCCTGCCGTGTGCAACAAGTTCTACAACTGCATCCACGGCGAGCACATCGAAACGGTCTGCACGGCCGGCCTCCATTTTGACGAATTCTCTGGAATCTGCGTGTGGCCTGACACCGCTGGAAGAGAAGGCTGTGATGCTGCTGCAAACAGTAAGTATAGTTAATCAGTTGATGCAAAATCAGCGTGCGCTGCAGAAGTACCGAAATCTTTCAAACCATTCCCATCACGTGATATGTTGAGATTTCTTGTTTTTTGATGACTATTTTTCGCAATAAAATTGTGGAGGCTTTAGTTTGGTCAGCTCCCCTAATACCATGGCGTCAGCCCACTGTCATCATTTTTGTAGCGATTTAGGCTTTCAAGGATGTTTCTTCCGCGGTATGAGGTGTTGTTTCAACTGACTCTATACTAAAATGTTCGAACATCTGCTCACAACACTATGGGGAATTTATTCAATCACTAATTTTCTATATAAATATAGAGTACTAGCTGACCCGGCAAAAGTTGTTTTGCTATTCAATCTGCTATCTCTAGAAAATATCTTTTTAGTTAAATATTCAACAACAAACATTTTTTTTTCATTTTCTTCATCTTTTCAGTTTGACTAACCATAAATCCGTTGTTTTTTAGTTTTTCATACTACTATTTATTTTCAACTTCTTTTCAGTTCGGTAAAATATCTCTTTAGTTTTCTGAACTGCTATTTATTTTTTACTTCTTTTCAGTTTAGTTACCTATGAAAGTTACTTTTTCTTGAAAAGCTTGTTCGACATATTGAATCCGCCATCTTGAATTTCTAATTATGATGGAGGAATCATAATCTCCGACATCGAAATCCCCCAGATACAAATTTCGAATAGACTCAGTTCATAATTATTGGATAAGCCATCTTGAATTTCTCAATTTTGACGAAATCATTATGATTTCGAACCCCGAAAATCTCGAGATACCAATTTCAAATAGAATTGTATCATAATTACAAATCTCGTCCGTCAAATTGGATCATAGCCATTTTGAATTTTTGAATTTTGACAAAAGAATCATATTCTCCGACCCCAAAAACATTTAGAAACGAATTTTGAATACAATTCCATCATAATCACAAAGTTCTTCCTCCATATTAGATCCGCCATCTTGTATTTTTCAATTTTGACCAAAGAATCCTAATTTTTAACCCCAAAAACACCTAGATACCAATTTTGACTAGAATCGGATCATAATTAGAAAGATCACTCGCCATATTGGATCCGCCATTTTCCATAATTTGACTAGGGAATCATAATCTCTGAACCTGAGAATAACCAGATACCAATTTTGAACAGAACTGGATCATAATTACGAAAGTCGTCAATCATATTGGATCCGCTCCCCAAAAACCCCCTCCCCAGTAGCACCAATTTTTGCAGGAATTTGCTCCATATTGTCCCAACATCGAAAACATTGGGCCAATATAGGCCCAACCAAGATTATGTGCTAATAGGGCAGATACCAATTTTGAATAGAATCGGAAAGTAAATACAAAATTCGTCCGCCATATTGGATATGTCATCTTGATTTTTTAAATTTTGACGAAATAATTTCACTCTTCGACCCCAAAAAACCCCAGATACCAATTTTGAATTGCATCGGATCATAATTACAAAGCTCGTCCGCCAAATTGGATCCACCCTCTTGAATTTCCTAATTTTTTTTTCATAAAAACCTTCTCCTAACAATAACAAGCACAACAACAAGAAAGAGTGAAATCGGTCCAGCCATTTTTAAATTGTATTTAGATTGCATTGTATGCATAAGGCGGGTGAATACACTGCGACCTGAAAGATCTATTGTGCCCCTCTCCATAGTTATAGCAGTTTCTCTAGTCCTCTATCATCCCTCCAGAAATTTCAGGATATGAGGTGGTTCCAGGTGGATAGCTCCTTCTGCTCTAATATGTGTGCTCCTATTGGTTCCTTATACCCTTGTGCTCTGTAGGGTAACACATTCCGTGAGTATGTGGATAGAGGCTTCCTCCTCTTCCCCACAGAACCTGCATTCGTCTTCCTCTTCCAAGTCGAGCTTCCTAAGATGCCCTTTCAACATGATATACCTCGGGCAGTACCCAGTTAGGACTCCCGTAATTATACCAGGAATATTTTTTCTCAAGCTGATATTTGTATTCGATCTTTTGTGACAATATATGTAAGCAGTAGTATCTCCGTCTGTTTTAGACCTTAATCTCTGCTTTGCTTCTTCTTTTCTAATTCCTTCTGATACAATAATATTGCTGCTGATGCCACAGAAGGGCTCTGGCCTCACCAAGGGTGTTTGAACTCCTTTCCTAGAGAGTTTGTCTGCTACTTCATCTCCTTCTACTCCGGAATGTTTCGGAATCCATAGGAGGGTGACTATATTTCTGTTGGCTAGTTGATTCAGATTCATACTGCTGATACCCATAGAGATCAGCGCTTCAACAGCTGCTTGACTATCGGACATGATAATGATATCTCGTCTTTCATAGAAATTTTCGAGATTGAGCTGTACACTGTTTCAACTAATATATAGAGTGAATTTCCACCTGAAATATGCTTGGGAATACGCCAAGGCTTGGTACTCGATACGAGGCCCGTAGACTCCTATTCCAGTTCCATTTTCGGTTTTGTATTCATCTGGGTACCACTTTATAGCTCCTTCTTCGAGCTCAATATCAATGGATTCGGTGTTCCATTTTTTTTGTAGCTCAGCCTTGTGGGAATTTTACTCTATTGGCATTCATTATTGGTCCTAGCGTTGACTTGACTCATTACTAGGATTATATTAGTTCTAGTGATTACACATATCACAAAACTACATAGTTAACTTCAGTTTTCACTGATATTTGAGGTAAAATATTGCTAGTATAGCTTTGGTGATTATAGCATTTGAGTAAAACTAAGTCTTGTATAAAAAACGTAGGGGCTTCATTGCATTAATGTTCACTTATAACTTATATGAATCATGATTGGAGTGGAAGTGAAACTTTACCAATGTGGTTGGTCGCAGTGGTACCTCAGTCATTTTTCTGAAATGAATTGCTTTATAATAATTAAACATTGACTCATATCATGAACTTGGCGTCATAATCCTAATTCTTTAAGAAATCAACTTCATATTTGGCCCATAATTATTCTGTTCTATTCTAAAGACTTTTGTTTGGTATACCTGGTTGGCATAAATGTATTTTTTGCAGCAATTTTGAAGGACGGCTTCACATGTCCCACCGATGCCCAAAAAGACGCCAACGGCAACATTGCCGTGCATCCCAAATACGCTCATCCTACCGACTGCCAAAGATTTTACGTGTGCTTGAACGGAGTCGAACCACGTGATTTGGGATGCCAAGTCGGCGAGGTTTACAACGAAGACAGTCAAAGATGCGATGCTCCCGAAAACGTTCCTGGATGGTGAGTATCAGTTATAAAATTTTTTTCGGCTATTTCCAAGGAAAATGTGAGTCACGTGGGTACCACTGAGTTATCTCAATAGGAAGATATATGTTGGTGGGTCCTAGTGACCTACTTACTACTGACTGTAATACATTAAGAAATGTAATATTTTGTTTTTTTTCAGTGAGGATTGGTATAAGGATGAACCATCTGCACCACCATCAGCGAAACAAGGGAAAAAAGCCTAAATTAAATTATTATTAAATTAGTTTTTGTATTCGTTGAACATATCACTTTCTAATAAAAATAAACAAATACAACAGCGCTGTTTTTATTCATTCAATAGCAGACAATTCGTTCTTATTATTCTCAAAATGCTGAAGCTCAATTCCTCTCTATATCTTTCATCTCACGCTCTCTTATCCGTTATGAATTTATGTCATGATTTTGAATCACTCTGTAGGTAACTATGTACCTAGTGAATTCATTTCAAACTATGGAAGAATGGAATATAAAAACTTGTCATATGTTTTACAACTTTGGAAGTTCTGATGGTTGTTCCTACATTTATATTATATTATATATCATACAGGGTGAGTCATGAGGAACTGTACATACTTCTACCACGAATAGAGCCCCTTGGGGGAATATCTAATGATAATCACAATGTGTCTTCTTCTCTCCTTTACCAATATATAGGGTGAATTATGAAATTCGGCAAAAACATCTTTTCAAAAGCTCCTCCGATTCGTCTGATTTTTTCATGGAATGGAATCTAGGACCGTTTTTGAAAAATCCAGTTTAGTTTTTATCAAAAAGTTCATCCTGTATATGGTTTTTGTAAAATGTGACAGGAAATTTTCAAAGCACACAAACAAGCATCAGAAATGAAATATTCAAAATTCTCCTCACACTTTCAGAGAACTTATAAGCGAAAACGAGAGATTCACAACAAAATTCATTCGAAAATAATCACTTCGCAACGCATAGATTCCACAAATAAAAGTGAGACTCACATTTTCAATGCTTCAGCCCAATGGAAATCAACATGTCATTGTTCTTCCTTTACCCACGCCTGGATTTCGACATGTCATTTTTTATGGAGGGTAATAGTCACCCTGTAAATCTTTTTCAAATCACTGGATGGGGTATCTGTTTAGATGTTAATGGTCATTGATTCGAATAATTCAAGATAACCGAACAGAAAATAGAGGTTCATTCAAAATTATTTTTCAAAAGCTATACTGACAAAGGCGGATAATAATTCCAGTACGGAGAATAAGGGGCCAAATTAACTGTATAAAATCATCAATTCATTTATGGCGATGGTCATCAACATTTTCACAGATACCCCATCCGCTGATTCGAAAAAGATCTACAAAGTGATTATTATCCCCCCCCAAAAAAAAGAATTACTAAATCCAGGCCTGAAAATAAAATAATATGTTGATTTCCATTGAGCTGAAGCACTTTTATTCGTAAAGTTCATGGGTTGCGAAGTATTGATTTCCAAATAAATAAATTTTTTTGCCAAATTTCGTTTTTTCATAAAATTCATAGTATTTTTCCAACTGCAGTGAAAGTGTGAGAAAAATTTGGAATATTTCATTTTTGATGTTTGTTTGCGACCTTTGAAAATTCCCTGTCACAGTTTACAAAAACGATATACAGGATGAACTTTTTGCGATAAACTAAACACTCAAAATTTTTCGAGTACTGTCCTGGATCTTCCGGATTTTGAATGAGTCAGTCGATTAGAGATTAGTTGCGGAATATTCCATGAAAAAATCAGATAAATAAAAGAAGCTGTTGAAAAGGTATGACCGAAAGATGTTTTTACCAAATCTTATAATTCACCCTATATATTGGAAAAGAAGTAAACACCGTAGAGACTTTTCTATCGATACTTCTACGGTAAATGTTCTTCGGAAATCTCTGCTATCATCCCTTCACGAGCAATACCAGTCAGACGAACTAGACAAGCCCAGTCAGCACATCCTTTCGTAGCCAACCTCGAAAGATGTCGAACAGCACTTTATCAAAACTCTTTCATCCATAGAACGGCTAGGCTCTGGAATTCATTGCCTGAGGAAGTATTCCCAAAAACATATAATCTCCAGAAGTTCAAAAAAAATTCCAATACCTACCTCCTGTCCCTATCCTCCCTAGGAACGCACGATGTTCTTTGAACATTATAGGGATTTCCTTCCGTGCGCTCCAAGCGATAAAAAAAAGTGAAGACGACACTTTCTGATGGAGATTAGGTATTCCTCTCAGGGGCCTCTTTTCGTGGTAGCAGTATGGACAGTTCCTCATGACTCACCCTGTATTATACATAATACATTTATTTTAATTGAAGTATGGGCATGAAACGGGAATCGGTATATCTCAAACACTCTGTATGTTCAATCAATGTTTCAGTTTGACATTCATGTCAATCCTTCAGAGGAAACATCATTACGTTATTTGAAAAATTCACGTAGGTTACGTGGGTAACTAATAAACAAAAATTCGCAATTGTTCAATATCTGTCCAAAATTTTTCCGTAAAATATGTATAATAAATAACGACAAAAATGTCTTCTTTATCGTTTTTGAAGAATATCAATAGTTTCCGAGCAAAAGTACCTCGACTATGTGGCGTTCGCAGACTTTGTTCAGAAGATTGCGGAGAGGAAAAGGTAAGACTTGAAAATTTTGACAAGATCGAGGCTTTCATAACGAAAATTCATTCCAGAAAGGGCTAATATTGGGAATATACGAGGGTGAAAATGAAGAACCAGTTTTCACGAAAGCAGCTTCGAAATTCAATGATCATCTCAGTGGTAAATTATTCGAGTTAGTGAAAAGGTGAGCAATGATGTTTCTGACATTTCTGATATTCATTTGACGTTCAATACAGAGTGGAAATTTCTTCAGAATTTGATGTAATTTATAAATTCACTAAATCACGTCGGGAAATCGTGAACTCCAGTCAAGTATAAGTAAATTGAGCTTGAAACAAATTATGTTCACACAGGATGATTATCAAATACCCTTTCATTCATATAAAAAAATCAAGTGAAACAAAACAAAATCGATATTAGTCAAATTTTCCCATTGGCTTATAGAAACTCTGGGATTATCCAGAGATAACTTGATTGAATCAATATTTCACCTTCGTGTTAAATCTCCAAGACCAAGTCTGAATTATAGTCGCTTACATTTCACGATTCACAATTCAAATTCTAAAGCAAGCAGCATTTGTTTGTGTTGAAAAATTCACCCTGTATTCATTTTGCAGGCTATTATATCGAATTTTCAAAACAATATATTTTCACTGAAATCGAGACTAGCAATAAATTAGGTTGCTGAAAGAAATGTTTAGCAATGTGAATATTTTATCTAGGAAAAAAATATGTCATAGCTCAGGGACTGCTTGAGATTTTCTTTCACTTCCAGGGTTGATATTTTTTACCCTTTCCAGCCCTTTGATGCCATTTGGCATCATTAATTTCATCTAGTATAACCTATTAAGTTGAGTTATACCTAGTGTAACACCCTATTTATTTCCTCACCGTTGGAAATACCTACCGAAGAGCTTTAAAAAAATACCCTCAATATAATTAATTATATTCACCATTTCTCAATTCATGGGCATCCGAAATTAACAGAGTTTGATTGATTTTTGAACGACTTTTGAGAGTAGGTCATGTAGGAGAGTGATTGCAATAAATCCAGGTATATTCGCTATCAAGGCCGTGCTCAGAGGGGGGTCGAGGGGCCCGGAGCACCCCCCCGAAATGACGACATAAATCTGACTTTTTCTCCTTAGTTCTAAAAAATTTTCGAATTAGCAGCTGGTTTTTTGGACCCCCCCGGAAAAAAATTCTGGGCACGGCCTTGTTCTCTATATCGCTACCTATATAATATTCAATTCTCATTGACGGTGATTATTACTGAAAATTGATATTTGTAATCATTATCATGGCCTACTCTCGAGAATCATAAAAAACCAATCGAACTCTGTTACTTTCGACTGCCCATATTTCGAGAAACACACATGCTGAATATATTGAGTGAGGTATTTTCGGAAAGCTCTTCTAAAGGTTTCTCTAGTGGTGAAGATATGTACACAATGTACAGGGTATTTGTCCAGCATGAAAAGAATTTTGAATCGAGAAAACATAATCACGAATCTGTGATTGGTGGTCTGTAAAAGTAAATTTGCATCGTTCAAGATGAACAAATTCTGATATTTTTGCTTTTTTAATTCACCCTGTATCAAACATTTAGCAGTAGATATAACCGGTGAAGTAATCATTCCATGGAGGAACACATCGAATAGGTACTTAGACGCGAAGTTTCATCAGTGTAACTTCTACAGATCTCTCTAGATCAACCAAAAATTGATGATTAAAGTAAAAAATGTTTTCAGTACGACCCATTTTTTTCCTGAAATTATAAATAAAATTAACTAATTCGAGGCAATATCCTACAAACTATAACAATTTTCATTAAGTCATTTCGAATTCTCATTCCATTTCGCCAAAATCGATATGTTATTATGATCACATCACGCATCCGTGTATATCTTCTGAATATTGAACAATATGGTGAAACCTTAGCCGTGGCACTTGATATCTCCAAGGCATTCGATCGAGTCTGGTACCACGGACTCCTCGCCAAGCTTCCATCTTATGGCTTGCCTCCCCAGTTATGTTCTCTGCTAGGTAGTTTTCTCTCAAACAGGTAGTGGTCGACGGAGTTTCATGAGACTCTCTTATCATAAATCCTGGTGTTCCGCAAGGATCAATTCTAGCACCAACACTATTTCTACTCCATATCAACGATTTGTTGGAAGCAACTTCATGTCCAGTATACAGCTTCGCCAATACCAGCCAGGCAAATCAGAAACAAACGAGGGACAAATGTTGAGAACATAAATATGGACTTGGCAACAATTCTCTAGAAAAGCCGATCTCACTGTGCCCAACATAAGCTTATCAGGAGTAACCATACCTTTGAAGACATCCATTTCGATGCTTGGTTTTACTATCAGCAATAACCTTTCTTGGGAAAGTCACGTGAGATCTAATGCTAGAAGTGCATCCCAAAAACTTGGTTTTCTGTTTCGAGCCAGGAGCTATTTTACTTCCAGTCAGCTGCTTATGATCTATAAGGCACAGATCCGACCTGTCCTGGAATACTGTTTTCATATTTGGAGTGCAGCACCCAAACATACCCTGAAACTGTTGGATTCTGTCCAAAAAAGTGCAATTCGTCTCGTGGGTGATGCCTCGCTCACAAACTCACTCACTTCTCTGGAACACCGAAGGAAAGTTGGCGATCTGGCTCTATTTTACAGATATTTTAATGGACGATGCTCCCTTGGCAGTCCCCGCGAGATAAATCCGTTGGATTGAGGCTTCACACCCCTTCGCGGTGCAGAACATCTCTTTTCAATGAATCGTTCAACCAACGAACAGCGAGGCTCGGGAACACATTGCCAAGGGTGGTGTTTCCCAAGGCATATAACCTCCAGAACTTTAAGAAGAACACCAATTCTTACCTTATTTCCCTTGGCTCTCACGATGTTCTCTGAACATTACAGGATATCCCTTTTCGTGAGAACCAGAACATGTAATGTATTGCATGGATAAATTCGGTAATGAAAAAAAAAGTACTTATTTATTCTTCGCAACTTGGAGTGATTTGTGATTTTTGTCTCTTTGGTTTTCAAGCCAATCGCTTCGGCAGACGTTTTTGTCCAGTTTCGAATCATATTTTTGCCAATGGGCATATTATCATACCAACGATTTGTTCTCAGAAATAATCTATTCGTTTTGATATTTGGGCACCTTTTTGATATCAATTTTTTAAATAACCTGACGAGACATACGTTGCTGTGGTTGTTTTCGATTAAAAATTTGCTGTCAGAACAAATAATTCGAAAGTTCCTCATCCAAATACATTATGCAACTTATTTATACAGGGTAATGCACGTTATTCGACACGAAGCATTATAGCTAGAGCATTTATAAGTTTTTTTTTTGGATTAATGGAGACATCAGCTCTACATTTTGAATATATTTTCATGTTGTACAGGGTGTGTCAAAAACACGAAATGTATTAAAATTGCTATTTTTTTAATATGACGCCCTGTATATAATTTCATTATATTACATCACACTTGAGGTCTAGCGGGAATGATTACAGTGATATATAGGGAGTTCAAAATTGAGATTTTTCAATTCTAAGTTTTTTTTGTGTCCAAACTATTCACTATTCTCAACTTTGACTGACATTCAATTAGAACACTACAGATACAGGGTAATCAGAATTCTGAATCTTGAACCACCCCCGTATTTGTTCCAAGTTCTTTTTTTCAGATGAATAGAGACCTGCCTGCGCTACATTTTCAAGACATTTTCATGTTGTACAGAGTGTGTCGAAAACATGAAAAGTATCAAAGTTGCCATTTTTTAAATGGAATGCCCTGTGTATAATTGCATTTTCGATTCTCCCTGAAGAGCTGATTTCATCAATACATCACACTTGGGGTATAGCGGGAATGCTTTCAGTGATATACCGGGTGGCTACGGAAGTATTGCCTACGGAATATCTCAGTTATTGTATGAAGTAGGTTTGTGAAATTTGGAGCGTCGATATAATGACATAAGATCTAGAATTTGAGCATATTGACATGTCGAAGTTCCCAATTTTTCCAATATTTTGTTTGGCGGCTTTTTATAACGCCGACGAATGAAAATAAAATATCACAGTAGTAGCAACTGTTATCAAGTGAGCCAACTTTTCAATTTTTGGCTTACTCGGTGGATTTCAATTATAAGTTTTTTCTGATCTAGTTTCTGGTTAGATACCAACTTGTGATATGTCATTAGAAAGGGAATTGAATGCTGAATAAAGCGAGAAGAACAAAAAATAGGGTTTCCGTTTAAAATAAGAAAGTTGATGTTACTTCCGGTCAGACCAGAAGTTAACTTCGACATGTCAATATGCTCAAATTCTACCTTTTATATCATTATATCGATGCTCCAAATTTCACAAACCTAGTTCATACAATAACTGAGATATTCCGTAGGCAATACTTCCGTAGCCACCCGGTATAGGATGTTCAAAATCGAGATTTTTCAATTTTAGAATTTTTTTGTGTCCAAACTATCCATAATTATTGGTCAAAACGGCTCACAATCATGTCCCTATCTCAACATTTTATTCACTATCAATTGATATTCAATTGAAATAAATACAGGGTGGTGCAGAATTGAGATTTTTGACCACCGTGGAATCTATTTCAATTGAATATCAATTGATAGTACGTGAAAAGTTAAGACAGGGATATAGATTCCGCTTTGACCAATTATGAATAGTTTCGACACAAAAAATTCCTAAAGTTGAAAAATCTCGAATTTTCACATCCTATAACTCTGTAATTATTACTGCTAGACCCCAAGTGCTATAGGTCATGGAAATCAGATCTTCAGGAAGAATCTGAAAATGGAATAATATACAGAGTGATCTATTTAAAAAATCAAAGTTGTTGCTACTTTTCAATGAATCAGCCTGTAGAGTTCACGACGATGTCGTTTTAAAAAATCAGTGGTCTCCCCCATTGTCGATTATCTGAAGTATCTCTTCAAAACATTGTGGTTGAGACTAGCAGTTGTATTGTTAGATATACTGCCCTGGCAAAATTGCACTCGTTCGAAGGAGGTGTTAACACTATGAGAAGCGTTCGCGGTAACAGAAAATTATTCTTGCCAGGCGTGTATGTGGGAATCACGTGACAGACAATGGGCGAGTGGACTGATAATGAATTATTGGCATTCAATTACTTCACTGTATCGTTAGGAACCCACATTAATTTTTGCAACACTTCGCAAGCCTTTTTTATGTGAATAATAAGTCTATGCGTTGTTCAAAATCGTTGAATTTCAGAGCTTATTTCAAAATTAACGTCATGGCCGCCATTTGGCGATACGTCGAATAAATGGTGATGTCAGTTTTTAAGCTGTTTCGTTATTGGTCAGATACTCTTCCACTTCCACTCATGAAGCAAGGTTGTCAAGTCACCAATTATAATCAAGTTATCAAAATCTACCTATACACCTTGCACTCAAGCCACTATAGATGGCTATGAAGGCTAGATCGTCCTTGTGCTCCCTCAGGGCTTCGACTTGTTTGATATATGGAGGTACCCTTCGTGAATCGATTGTCAGCTGGCCAGTGCAACTGATGAGACTTATGGCAAGTCAAAACAGTCTGTCTTGCATCAGCTGACAATCGATTCACGAAATTTCCCTAGAATCTCTTAGTCTTGAGATTCTAGGTTTATTATCAAAAAGAAAGAGTCCTGTCGTTGAATAAAACATGATAGGAGGATCTCATGACATTATAATAAATTCTTGACTTTTTAGAGCAAGCAGCATGTCCACATATTTCTTATTCTCCATAACAAAATATCATGTGAATGAGTGAGACTTGACAACTTTGTGCTGAATGGTGAGAAGTGGCAAGACCACGCCCACAAGTCGTGCGCGGGGTTGTCACGTTCACCGATTCAAATGTCCTCTAGTGTGGCGTCAGTTTTCACTGGCGGTAAATAGGTCGCGTGCAAGAACTGTCAGATGACCGACCCTGGAGGCAAAACATATTTGTTTACAAGTGATCGAAATAGTTTTCCACAATTATTTTGGCATATGAATCGTATTTTTCCGCTATTCATCAATTCGCTAATGCCATCACATTGTGCTGTTGTAAAATGCACAAAAACTGCAGCGGAAGATGAAGAAATCCGGATGGTACATTATGATTCAAAAGTAAGTACCTACTATAGTCACTCACATAGTTTTCATTTTTGAAATTTGGTTATTTCTCTGATTTCTCATCGGAATTCCTTCTGCAATAGGATCAGCTAATAGAAATATACCTGAGAGGCTGAGATTTCTAGAATAATGCAAGAAGATTGGATTCATGCAATCAATCGGTAGGACTGGTCTGACATGCTGACGATCGTGTGTGTTGTAGACATTTTCAATCTATTAGCAGCATTAGCTTGTATTGCAGAAGTGGCAGAAGGCAGAAGGAATTTTAATAAGGAATGACAACATTTCATAATGCTAACTATGTGAGATTACTATTTACCTGAAAAATCATATTCCCTAGTCTCTTGCTGCATTTTTTGTGCATTGTAGAACAGCACAATGCGAAGGCATGCTTGAATTAATGAATAACGCAAGAAACACGATTCGTATGCCAAAATATTGTGAAAAACTATTTCAACCTTTTGATTCCTCTGTAACCAAATAAAAAAGTGAGGTTGTGTTTCAATAATTCACAGAAGAATGAGGTTGTGTTTCAATATTTTGCCTCCAGGGTCGGTCTTCGTGCACGCGACCTATTTCTAGATGTTTGAAAATTACCGTGGCATTATTGGTGATTTTTGCACCTAAAAATCTACCGAAAAGTATGAAATTGAAAGGTATTTGAGTGATGATTCTAATTAAGATATAAAACAAAATTTGTCCACTCGCCTATTCAGAGCCTGATAGCACTCGCTTCTCTTTCCAGAGCCGGCTCCGACCTGCGCAGAGGCCAGGCGCGCATCTTCAACAACATCGACAAGGAGTTCTGGTCTATAGCCGTGGTCGGCTTGGGCAAGGAGAAACTCGGCTACAGCGAGATGGAGGCCATCGACGAGGGCATGGAGGCGGTGCGGGAGGCGGCCGGCATGGGGGCGCAGGTGTTGAAGCGCGAGGGGGTGACGAGGATTTTGGTGGAGGGGCTGGGCCACCCCGAGCAGGCGGCGGAGGGCAGCGCATTGGCGTTGTGGCGGTACCAGGAGAACAGGTTAGGTTATGGACTGTGAAAATTTCTTAAATTCATTTTCTACTACACCTTTTACAGATGTATTTCAGAAAGCGTCAATTCAATTTCAGAATAGTCACTTGTATTTCAGAATAGTCAATTGTATTTCAGAAAGCGTCAATTGTATCTCAGAATAGTCAATTCAATTTCAGAAAGCGTCAATTGTATTTCAGAATAGTCAATTCAATTTCAGAAAGCGTCAATTGTATTTCAGAATTGTCAATTCAATTTCAGAAAGGATCAATTGTATTTCAGAATTGTCAATTTAATTTCAGAAAGGGTCAATTGTATTTCAGAATAGTAACTTGTATTGTTGTTGTTGTTTTTTTGTTGTCATTTGTATTTCAGAAAATATCATTTGAATTTCAGAAAGCGTCAATTGAATTTCAGAAAGCATCAAGATCGATTAGTTAGTAGAAGGTGCACACTCCATGTGCATTGGATGTTCAGTGCTTCCTGTAGTGATGTTTTCAATTCAATCACCCCATTTTTTTTATGTACCTTCAGGTAGGTACCTATACAGAGTGGGCCTTTGAAAACGAAACAGAGGCTCTGTAGGTCGCCAAAACCGGATTATGAAAAGAATCTGAAACAGGTCAACTACATTTTCGAGGGGGACATCTTTCTAAAATATTTTCAGCCCTGCGGCGTTGCCGCTTCTAAAGAAAAGAAGCAACAACTTTGTTATTTCAAATGGAACACCTTGTATTTTATTGCATTTTTAGATTCTTCCCGAAGAGCTGATTTCATCAATGCATCACACTTAGGATCTAGCTGTAATGGTTTCAGGGATATAAAGTGTTCAAAATCGAGATTTTTCAACTTTAAAGTTTTTTGGCGACCTACAGAGCCTCTGTTTCGTTGTCAAAGGCCCACTCTGTATACTATTTGATGAACAGTTTACAGGATTTCAGGTATAGGGGACTATCATAGATACACTTATTTCAATTGCTGCAATTCTGATGGCTGTTTGATACTGTAAAATAGGCTTCTTAATAACATTTACAAAATCGAGGTCTGTTGCTATGACGTGAATGTTATGATATTTTCACGATTTATAATGTTGTCTGGCAGGAGACACCCCGTGGAAAGTGCCTGGCAATTGTATATTCTCTTTCATGATAGGATCCGATTGAACATAAAAAGATCAGCGTTTGTTGAAATGATGTTTTTGCCAGTTTTTTTTTTCGTACTTTCAACACCCGGTATCTCTTGAAAGCCCATCCAGCACTGAAGATTTTTAACCCCCAAAACGATTCCACCGAATAAGATTAACACACATAGAAAATATCAACCTTGTTGAAATGATGTCTGGTCGCTGGCTTTCAGTCTATAGAGGACGATTTCTCAAATTCAATTGCTCATTCTGAAATACAATTGATACTTTCTGAAATTCAATTGACGCTTTCTGAAATTCAAATGATACTCTCTGAAATACAATTGACACTTTCTGAAATTCAATTGACTATTCTGAAATACAATTGATGCTTTCTGAAATTGAATTGATTATTCTGAAATACAATTGACGCTTTCTGAAATTGAATTGACTATTCTGAAATACAATTGATGCTTTCTGAAATGCAAGTGACTATTCTGAAATATACATTTGACGCTTTCCGAAATTGAATTGACTATTCTGAAATACAATTGACGCTTTCTGAAATACAAGTGACTATTCTGAAATTAAATTGACGCTTTCTGAAATACATCTGGAGAAGGTGTAGAGTCCCTGTATACAGGGTGTCTCAGAATTAGCCTGCCAAACTTCCCTAGTGACTTTTACGACCAAAAATAATGAAGATGATGTTTCTTGAGTATTTCCGAAACTCCATGTAATAAAAAGATGCAATTTGGTACAAGACCTAAAATTTCCATGCCCAAATGCAGTGAGGATACAATTATTTCGAAATTTCAATCAGGAGTGTATGGTACATGGTGGGACTACATTGAATATTACTCAACAATTTTTGTATGCATATATTTTGACAATTTAATCTCGGATTATGAAATTTCACACCTTTTCACAGAAAATAGGTACTCTTGTTCCATGACGATCAGATGTATTATTATCGAGTGAAAGCAATTTGAAAATATTGTTACATTTCAGATATTATGAATAACATTGCGATGAGGTGTAGTGGAAATGAAATCACAAAATTTGAAGTAGTTTTTCATCATCATTTTCGTATTTTTTGCGCTTTCTCGAGGTTGTTTGGTGAAAATAACTACTTATTTTTTTTTATAGCCACTATGATTTGAAAATTAGCAACGTTATGCATTTGATATGTGAGCTCGGATGCATGTGAGTGCATCAATATTTTTGAATGGATTTCACTCGAAAATGATACATCTCATCGATGCAGAACAAGAGCATCTTTTTTTGTGAAACGATGTGGATTTTCATAATCCAAGATTAAATTGTCAAAAAATATGCATACGGAGAAGTTTGAGCAATATTTAATGTAGGGCCACCCTGTATTATACACTCGTGAATGAAACTTTGAAATGATTTTATGTTCACCGCATTGGGCATGGAAGTTTAGTTCGTGTACCAAATTGCATTATTTCATCACGTGGCGTTCCGAAAATATTCAAGAAATATCATCTTCAGGACCCCCCTCTCAAGGGGTCGTAACTCCTTTAGGAGATATTTCTCGACTCATGTTCATTGAAACTTTTCTTTCTATTTTTGGTCGAAGAAGCCGCTGGTGAAGTTTGGCATGCTAATTTTGGGACACCTTGTATACCTTAGACAAGAGTCCGGACACAGCTATACTTCTGTCCTTTTCTGTTTTCAAAAAATGCATTGATGATTGAATGAAGGAATAAGACATATAAACTGGGTGTCAATTGAAACGTTAATAGTGAAATTTGGCATCAAGTTTGACCTCTCGTAATTTCTAAAATATTGAACCAATTTTGAATTGCCGCCCAGATTCTGAATGCCTTTTTCATCGTCTTTCGAACCGTTCCTTACAGCTTCTTCTGAATTGATCAGGACCCGTGATACAGGGTGAAACAAAGTTTCGTGCATTTTGAAAAAAAATTCTCCGCCTCCCCATTTTGTCGGAAGACCACGATGCTCATATTTAATTCGGGCATTTCATGAATAGCAACCATACCTCGGGACGTTTTTGAGTTTTTGCCAAAAACTACTGTGGTTTCCAAAAAATAATTTTTTTTTGTATTTTTTTAAATGGACTAATTTTAGAGGAGTTCCATAAATGGATGCTTTTATGCATTTCAGGAAAGCGTTGGAGCAGATATGTATACCAGGTTACTCAAAAACAATCAATAATTTATTACTTCGCAGTCTATGATAAAAGTTTTCAACCTTAGTAAGCAGTAAATCAACACATCTCATCAACAAAACAAACAACGATACCTTGTTTCTATAACAAGGTACTGTTGAAACAATGTAGGTATGCATAGAGGTTATATCAATTGCCAATTTTCATGAAAACGTCAGTGTAATTCAGGTCCTAAAAAATTCAAAGATGCCTCGTTCAAATCGGGTCGAAATGGAAAATATCATTAGGTAAGATCACTATATTGATATAAACTATAATTCAGTACAGATAATTATTATTTCAGGTTATGACGATTAGGATATACCCGAACTCATTTAAGTACCATTTTCAATGAATCAGTCATGACAATAAATAGACTGATTCATCGTTTTGAGGATACAGGTAATCAGTCCATTTGAAAAATTTCAAAAAAAAAATTTTTTCGGAAACCACAGTAGTTTTTGGCAAAAACTCGAAAACGTCCCGAGGTATGGTTGCTATTTATGAAATGCCTGAATAAAATATGAGCATCGTGGTCTTCCGACAAAATGGGGGGGCGGAGAAATATTTTTTAAAATGCACGTAACTTTGTTTCACCCTGTATCACGGGTCCTGATCAATTCAGAAGAAGATGTAAGGGACGGTTCGAAAGACGATGAAAAAGGCATTCAGAATCTGGGCGGCCATTCAAAATTTGATGCCAAATTTTACTATAAACGTTTCAATTGACGCCCAGTTTAATATCTTGAAAAGTAAGCGAGATATTCCAATCAATAGAAAAAAATAATTAAGCTTTGACCTCCTGTAGTTTCGCTATTGAACGAGATCGGACTAATGTTTATATAAACTTTTTTCTCCATTTTTTCTTCCATTTCAGTTTGTGCGTCAAAACCTGAATCACCCTGTATATTTACTTGATATTTATTTAATCCTTTCGTAGGTCACGCCAACATTGGAAAGTCATTCCGACGCTCGAGCTTTTCGATGATTGCGATGCCGAAAGCTTCCAAAGAGGCCTGTTCAAAGCAGAGTCTCAGAATCTGGCGAGGCGACTTTCTGATACGCCAGCCAATCAGATGACTCCTCTACATTTCGCTCAGGAGACTGTCAATGAGCTGTGCCCGTGCGGTATCAAGGTGATTTTTTTATTAGTGCATGATGGCTGACAATTTGAATGGTGATTCTTTATGTCGAATTACCCAATTACCAATTTATGAATAACCGAGATAAATATTTTCCATAGATTTTTGTTTATTGTTTATTGAAAAACTAGCTTCCAGTCAGAAATAAAATTCTGGTATGAGGAAGTTGATTACAAACAACAATAATAAAATAATATAACGTGACAACAACAACAACAACAACAACAACAACAAAATCTAAAAAATCTAAAAATGCTAAATCGATCAAGTCATAAAAATAGCCACAGGGACTAATCAGTAGATGGCAAAGTATCAATTTTATCCATTTCGTAATAAAATCATGTGTTTTTTTAATTCAATTTTAAATTTTGAAATATGTCTGCAATTCTTTATATTATGTGGTAATTTATTAAATTCAGCTAGAGCAGCGTGAGTAAATTTTTTTTGGCCAATTATAGAAGTAGCAGAATCAAGATGAAATAAGTTTAATTGTCTCGTGTGATGACCATGAATTTCTGAGTTTCTTACCAAAACAAAATTGGATTTCAGATTATTGTTTATTATATCATATGAAACTTTAATAGAATCTATTTTATATAATTCATCCAATGAAAATTTTTCTGTTATGGCATACAGATCATTTGTTGGGATATCAGATGAGAGGCGATACAATACTTTCAGTGCTTTCTTATAAAGTGCAGATATTTTACTGAAACAATTTTTTGAATAAGATCCCCAAACGTTTATCATATAGGTAATACGACTGAGTATATGAGAATGAAGTACTATGTTTATGACTTTTTTGTCAAGTTTAGGACATCTTCGCAAAGCTCCAATGATTGGAGATATTTTTTGTATCAGAACCTCTATATGTTTGTCCCATTTCAATTTTTCATCAATCCACAAACCAAGATACTTTATTTGTGTAGTTCTTTTCAATACTTTATTTTTAATTTGGAGAATTCAATATATCTTTTTTGTCTGCGAGTAAATTCATATTGATGTCTCCTATAATAATGAGGTTTTTATTTATTTCCATAATTTCATCTAGGTACTGTAAAAATTCATTCAAATTTGAACTGGGAGGTCTATAAAGAGCAATAATTTTCAATTTGGATCGAAACAAATGATTGAAATGATTGTGATGATTGCAATGATTGCAATGATTGCAATGATTGCTTAGTGCAATGGTATAAGAGATTGAAGTGATTGAAGTGATTGCAATAATTAATTAATTAAGGAAAGCATTGTGGAAGAAACTGTGCAACGCATTGAGAAATTGTTTGAATGATCTGTTGAAAGACTTGGGGGATGAGTTGAACGATTTAAGGAAATAATTGTGAAATATAATGAAAAATCGAATAGAGAAATTTACATTTTCTTCAAATCGCCTCATCCCCAGGTGATGGTGCACGACAAGGACTGGATCGAGATCAAGAAACTCAACGCCTTTCTCACGGTAGCACGAGGCTCGTGCGAACCGCCCGTCGTCGTCGAAATCTCGTATTGCGGGGCGCCACAAGACCAAAAGCCCGTCCTGATGATCGGCAAGGGCATCACGTTCGACAGCGGCGGCCTGTGCCTCAAGAAGTGCGACGGCATGGACCGGTTCAGGGCGGACATGTCGGGCGCCGCGGCGGTGATTGCGGCCATCAGGGCGGCCTCGGCGCTGAGTCTGCCCATCAACATCGAGGCGGTGATACCGTTGTGCGAGAACATGCCCAGCGGTGCGTATTCATTCATCTATTTATTGAATTAAGTGGAAATTACATGTTATGATGAATTTTCACAAAATAAGTACGGAATTCACCAGTTTTATATTCATACAGTGTGCAGCATCTATATACAGGGTGTTTCAAAAAAACCTGACCCCCTCGCTAGGGTAGGTAGAACACTGCAAAATAAGTTGGGTTTGCTCAGTGAAAAAATGTCGTAACGGCATCTGTTTTCAAGATACAAAGTGTTGAAAAAATTATTTTTGTACACATTTTTCACGATTATGTCGAAACTACTGGCAACATTGTGATGGAATTTTGTATGAGTGTTCCTTGAAATCTGACACATCGCATGAATTTGTTTTTATATCTGACTTTCATAGAGGGCGCGAGTTACACGTTTCGTACCGAGTAGTTTAGATCATAATTTTTTTGAGGTTAGATTTTTCAATCCAAATATGATATGAACTTGAACATGATTTAATTTTAAATCAAAAAGGTACACTTGGTGAAACTCGATACAATGTTCCGTTTTCGGAATATTTCGATTTGAAAATAATGGAGCAATAGCTGATGCTGGTATAAAATGAATATTATTGAGTTCAATTACCTATTTATTCAGAATCAAAAACAATAAAATCATTCTTGCACTGGAGTTATTGATGGAACAAAGAGGCATAAGTTGTAAATTAAGAGATATTTGACTAGAAACATGAAATATTGAATCAGTTAGTGTAAGTGTTCAAAATGTCCTACGTTTCGACGAATACACGATTCTAATTTCTTTTCTTGAGAATGTATTATTCTTTTAAACAGTTGAGAATCAGCTGTTAGGTCATTTGAGTGATGTACAATTATGTCTTACAACTCTTGACGTGAATTTACCTATGTAGCATAAACTTTCTGCTCAAGATACAACAAAACAGTGTAATCCATGTTCTTAGTCAAATCTGTTTCCATGTTATTCTTGTGATTCATTGTCAAATCAATAAGTTTAGCATTAGAAATGTATTCTTGTTCTCGGTTTTCAATAAATAGGTGATAATTTTTCATAATACTCACTCTAATACATATCTTTATACCAGCAACAGTTATCACTTCATCATTTTCAAATCGAAATATTCCGAAAACGGTACACAGTATCGAGTTTTACCAAGAGTACCTTTTTGGTTTTAAAATGAATGATGTCTAAGTTCACATCAAATTTGGATCGAAAAATCTAACCTCAAAAAAGTTATGTTCAAAACTACTTGGTACGAACCGTGTAACTAGTGCCCTCTATGAGAGATAGCTAACATCCATACAAAATTTCATCACAATGTTGCCAGTAGTTTCGTCAAAATCTGGAATATTGTGTAAAAAAAAATTTTTTCAACACCTTGTATCTTGATAACGGATGCCGTTACGAAATTTCCTTACTGAGTAAACCCAACTTATTTTGCAGTGTTCTACCTACCCTAGTTAGGGGGTCAGGTTTTTTTGAAACACATTGTATATACTCAAAATTCTCTGCTTTATCCAAAAAAACATACCCGGACTAAAAAAATGCTTTGAAGTTCACAAGTATTCTTTAAGAAATCACTCTAACATCTACCTAAATAGTTTTAATTATATGACCTATAAAAAATTACCCAATTATGCAGGCAGTCACCTCTATAATCAACTTCCAGAAGAACTAAAAAACCTCAGCTACAATATGTTCAGAAAAAACTAAAACATATTCTAATCCAAAATAGCTTCTATACTACAGCAGACTTTCAATCATATCTTCAAATATCAAACCAACATTAACAAAATTCATAAATCTATAATATGTTGGTGCTAACTTGTGTAGGTACTGTACTACTGTATTTTATATAACTGTGTATTCCAATTTATGTAAATGTGACTCGCTTCTAATTTCATTTGTTCAACAAATTTTTATCATATCTTCAGTTATAGTCATTTTCTCATGTATACCATTCACATTTTAATGCAAATATTTTTTGTATGAAGAAACGATCATTGTATTATGGCAAAAACGGTAATATATTATCTATCTATCTATGTCCACGCTGTACAGAATGGCTACCGATAAAGTCCAAGTCGTTTACATTTTCAAATTAAAGCAATTTCTAATTTGCGGGGTGGCAAACTGTGACGTGAACATTCTAAATCTAGTCCGAAAATAGCTGATGATGAAGAATATAGCTAGCGAATAGCTGTCGAATAGCTAATAACGAATGAAAAACGACGGAAAAAAATAGAAGAAGTAAAACTAGTAAACAAAAACATACATAACCACAAATGCACTCGGAGCAAGAATGCCGAAATTGGTTGGCTTCATTCTGACGAGTTATGGTTTTGTTATTAATGCAATGAAATATCTCGAATAGAGCTCGATCCTAAAGAAAATATCATTGACGTCCGCGTCTATTTTTTCAAACAGAACACTCTATATGTATTGCATTTTTGGAATCTCCATGGAAAACTGTATTCAAAAATATATTACACTCCGGGTCTGTATTCAGTGCGTCTGTTGAATTGAGTGCTCTCTTAAACACATTTATAAGTTATTTTCTGACCAAACTATCCATTTCTGAGAAATTTTAGGTCGATTTTTCATTTCAATTCACCACATTTGACAGGAGAAATTAAATATACAGGGTTAGGTATTCACAATGTAACAGGTACCTTCACTCAGAAAAAGTTATTTATATATTTCGAGCGTAACTTGCTTTTATGGACCTAGGCCTATTGATAGCACTCGCTATCGCTCGGGCTCTTACACTCTACGGTCCATGAAAGCCAATTTAACGCCCCTGATACTTAAATAACTATTTCGGAGTGTAGGTACGAGTCCATTTTGATTTTTGAACTTTTCCACCTTGTATCTCAGAAACGGAGGCTGATTGAGGCTTATTTTGTCCCCAGAAATTTTTGAATTATATTCGATAAAAAATGTCAGCTGTTACCTATCTGTATTTTATTTGGTCAGTGAATGAGCAGTGCACAAATGGATTTTTCAAAATACTTTTTCAGAAGGTGCTTTCCAATTTTTATTTTTCAAATTGACCACCCAGTATCTTGCAAACAATGCAATTTCGGACTGAAGTAATTTGCTCTCAATCAGCTTATTTTGACCTCAGTACTATGTGCTGAGATTTTGTAAAGATCTTGCAGGGACACCCTGTACACACAACAAACTCTCGACAATCTCTCAAGTATTCCTTCACCACACGATCAGAATCTCAAGCAAATCTCAACCAACTCAAATCATTCACTTACATCGAGGAAAAGAGCACAGTAACTCATTGCCTGAAATCACTTTCACCAATGCGAAAATCCTTTGCAGGCATGGCGATGAAATGCGGCGACGTCGTGATGGGTATGAACGGCAAATCGATCATGATCACCGACACCGATAACGAGGGTCGTTTAGTGTTGGCCGATGCTTTGATCTACGGCCAGAACACTTACAAACCGAGGCTGATCATCGACGTGGCCAGCTTGACGCCGGGCGTCAGGGCGGCCTTAGGCTCGGCAGCTAGCGGCGTGTTTTGCAACTCACAGACCATGTGGTCGCAGGTAAGGATGACAGACTTTGTAGCTAAATTTGAGCACGTGACGGATATATCCGTCGAGCTGGAACATGACGACGGATATATCCGTCATATGTTCTGATGCGTATCTGGGCTCGTGTTTTCCATTTATGACACTTTGTGGGGAGAGAGATCTTAGTAGCGCTATTTGGGCGGGTGAAGAAGATATTCGTCAAGCTGTGGCCTGATGACGGATATACTCGTCATATGTTTGAATGTGTATTTGGCCTCGTGCCTTTTATTAATGATACTTTGGGAGGAGATAGATCTCAATAGAGCTATTTAAGCGGAGGACGCATATATTCGTCGAATTGACGGATATAATTTGAATGTGTATCTGGACGCTTGCCTTCCATTTATGATAGTTTGTGGGGAATTTGGTATTAGTAACGATATTTTGGCGAGTTACAGATATACATCCGTCATAATATATGTTCAAATGTATCTCTGGAGTCGTGCATTTCATTCATGACACTTCCAACGATTTGACGCCTGGTGGCACCTCAGGCTACCTTCGGCAGCTAGCTGCGTGTTTTGCTACTCGCAGACCATGTGGTCGCAGGTGAGGATGATGTAGTAGCGCTATTTGGGCGGTTGACGAATTTAATCTTCGAGCTTGGGCCTACTGACAGATATATCTGTCATATTTTCGAATGCATCTCTGGACTGGTGCCTTTCAGCGAGCGGTGCGTTTGCTACTCACATACCGTAAGGTCTTAGGTGAGGATGAACTAGTGGAAAGAGAGGTGTTGGTAGCTCTATTCGGGCGAAAGACGAATATATCCGTCAAGCTGTGACTTTCTGACGAATATATCCATCATGTGTTTGAATTTCTTTCTAGACTCAGACGTTTCAATAATGCCACTATGTAGGAAGATAATTCTCAAATGGTCTATATTAGCTGGTGAAAGATATTTCAAAAACTATTCTGAAGGGCTAAATTGCTACTACGCATCATCTGACACTCCTGACAGTCCATAAATCAGTCGGTTTCAAACCCCTTCTCAAGGTCACACCGCTTTGAGATCCGAGCACCAGAACCTGCCTAAGAACACTACTCGTTTGCAGTGCGATTATGAAGATCACAGGTCATTTATGAGTGTGTTACCAAATCGTTAAATGGTGTGGTAGCCAGGAATCTAAGGCATTCACCGATTACCGACGTCTCCTTTGGGATTCAATGACCGAAGCCAAACATTCAATACGTAATACGGACTCAAAATAAAACTGAGTAACATTTTTCATTCAGGTTTGAATAGATTTGGAAGTATGAATGGAAATTTCACACCAAACATTTTCGATCAATTTAAAGCCTGTATTTCGTATCGTTACCATAGCTACTAAACAAATTTCTTGGAAATTATCCTCCTTGGGGGACGGAGCATGAAATTACACCGGAAATTTTTTGACGTTTATAGGTTAAATGACATGAATTCAATTTCAGATTATCTCGAGTTCATTCTATAAGTCAATGAATAAAAATCATTCATCAACAGTTTACCATATAATATTATGTAGGTATGCTTGCAAATTCGAAATTTCCAAATTACATGTTACTATACGTTAGTTCTTACATTTCATCACAAACAACCATCAACATGTAAATTTTCTCACCGAATACCACTTTACCTACAATTAATATCCAGGAATTTTTCTCGAACACGAATATTCAGAAAATTCTTTCTCGTCTTCGACACGGCAGAATTTTCAAAATATTTGTGTTCTCGAAAAAATTTCAGGAAATAATAGAAGCTCTCGTGATATTATAAGTGGAAATTCTAGCAGAAGATATTAGAGAGTTAGTTTCCACAACAAAAACGATAGATCTAGCGCAAAAACGGTAGACCTGACAACACTGTGGTCACCACAGTGAAACTACCGCAATCCTCCGTAACAGGCCATGTTGCCAAAACCAATCCTTCTTGTATAGTCGTGGAAATAAACCAAGGCAAAATCTGTTTCTTTTTATTCATCGCAAGCTGAATGAGACAGAAAATCACTAGAAAAAGGAACGTCGGAACTTGATTCATATATTTTGATCATTGAATTGTCACTGTGACTTAATGTCAAACAATTAGAGTACTGGTTATGCATCAATAATATTTCGAATTCCTTATATCATAATGGTGAAACGATTCAATGATCAATCTAAAACATTGATTCTGAGTGTGATCGCGTATTTTGTAAAACACGATGATTTCTGCCAAGTTCAAAAAAAGAATGTTGTCAGCATTGCCGCAGAAGCTCTGAATATTTCAGAAAGGAGTATTTAATGGATCAAGAATTCGCAAACAAACTCTGATGCTGTTTATGCAGAAACAGTTTCGAAAAAGGCCGAAGAAATAAAAAAAAGGTAAATCCCACAATTTTACAGGCTCTTAGAGTACATGTTACAATAAAATCGCTCCATAGGCGTTTCACTGAAGAATGGGCTGATTTTCCTTGTTCACCAAGATCCGTGAATACCTGGTTTCGCAAAATTGGATTCAAATTCAAGAGGAGCAACAATAGGCAGTTTCTTGTGGAACAACCATCAATTGCAGGCAAGCGTGCGTCATTCAAAAAAAAAATATCATCTAGATATTTACGCCTCAGTACATGGTCACAATATTTTGAGATTACCACCTCACCATTGCCAATAAAATGCCATAGAAATGGTGTGGTCAAAGGCTGAAAGGAGATGTGATAATGGTCTGGTCAAAGGTGTTAGAAGTAGAACCTGTCGTGATAACTTTCGATTCAGATGAGAGCGATACGTCATCAGAGGAAGGATCAATGCGTTCAAATGAAAATATTTGTTTTTGAAAAATGTTACTTCCTGAATAATTCATATTAAATTGAGTTGATGTTGACGAGGAATTATTATTCGAAATATAATCCATGTGAGTTATACTACCCACTTACTTACTTTCTTGCAGAAAGCCAAAGAAAAAACATTTGTTCGAAAGAATTTCATGTTGATAATGGATACAGAGTGTTTTCCGAAACCTCTAGTTGATATGGATAGTAATACATCTTCACATATTTTCTTCATAATTTTTTCCTCAAATACCTTTCAACATCTTATTTCACGAAGTGTCACTGACTATCAGCTGAAATAATTCTTTCTGGTCTGGAAATAAATTTTTAAACACTTCGGGGCAAAGAAAAATCTCTACGCCCAGTCATCCACAGATACTTCTATATCTCTATATTTTTTTCAGAAATGAGGGGAGAAAACTAATACATTTTGTTGATATTTTTTTGCCAAAGCATCAATCGCTTGTAGATATATTTGCGAAAAACAGATGATGTTGAACAGTTCGAGAAATCGTATAGTTCATTTATTCCAAAATCCGATAGGGTTGAAGTCATATTTTGGATTGCAGCTAATATTTTAAATTTTTATTATCGCTTAAGACGAACGAGAGAGAATGACTATTTTATGTTCGTAGAACATCGTCCATCCCTGGGGTGGAAAGGGAGAAAAGGTAGGTACTGAAATATCAAGAGTTATCCTTTGTTCATAGTGCAAGAGATGTCATATCCGAATTTCGTATTTTCAACATTTATTTCAGGTAGGTATTGAAAACATCTCGTCAGGTTTCCCGAACTGATTTTCCGCGACAATACTGTTCAGTGTTCAACTATAGTTATTCGTTTTTATAGGTAAATATATATTATGAATCTTTGAGGAAAAAGAACATGGGAACTTGTAATGGTACGCACATACACTCCTATATCCGTTCTCGTGGACTTCGATGAACTGCCATATTCGTTACCATGATTATCATGATTGTCAAAATCTGGAATACTCAAGAATACACATGCGAATGGTAACCAGAAATTCTATAGGCTTTTGTTTTGTGACTTGGTGTATTTCCACGACTTTATACTTCCATTCCAAAGTTGACATAATTAATTCTGTGAACTTTGCCCATACGTAACGATTCGATGAACAATCTGTTATATACGAGGTGTTTGGCTTGCAGGTACGCAAAGCAGGCGTCATCACGGGCGACCGCGTGTGGCGTATGCCCTTGTGGAAGTTCTTCACGAAAAAGGTGACGCACTTCCGGTCACACGACGTGAACAACAAAGGCCTAGGGCACGGCTCGGCTTGCCTCGGCGCCGCCTTCCTCAACGAGTTCGTCGATTGCGTCGACTGGATCCACTTTGACACGACGGGCGTCGGGTTCAAGAGCGAGCACAAGGTGTACCCCTACCTGACGAAGGGGCGCATGACCGGCAGACCAACCCGCACCCTCATCCAACTCCTCTACCAGCTGTCTTGTCCGTCAGAGGGTCAAAGGAAGTTGGAGTGATATGTCTGGAACGTAACAAAATTTGCATGACGACCGTTTAATTTTTCGTAGCGCGCTTCATAACAATCTGTTTTTCCGGAACCGTGGCGCCCGGCTTTTGGGGGCGCCACTACAAATTGTGCAAGTAGGGATAAGGGATAATCAAGGGAGGATTTTTTATGGCGGATTGGTTCGGAACCTGTTCGCTCCTCCATTATTTACGGGATGACTTGATGAGGACAGCTGGTCACTGTCAATCGAAAGTAATCGTTTTTTTTTTCTTATTTTACAATCGTCTATTCAAATGGAACTCTAATTTCTAATATATATATATTTATAAACTACTCAACAAATCCCTATATAAACATTCACTGCTAATCTTCGCCAGATCTCTGCTCGTGCTTCTGGACCTTCTTGAAAATTGACTAGCTGCCAAGTTTGTTTTTGCCGTTACTATTGTCTGCGAATTTTATAAAATGCTGATTCGTCGTGAAAGCGCAATTTTGCGGAACCTTTGTATAAATCTAGTGAAATGTGGAAGCTGTAAGAGTCAATAATTATACAATTATCAAAATGAATGCGTTTTATTTCATAACTGAACTCTTTCACCATGGTTTTCATCTTTCATCAGACCCAGATGGAAAAAATCAACTCCTCTACAATGGGCGAGTGGACTGATAATGCATTATTGGCATTCATTAACTCCACTGTGTCGTTTTTTTATGTAAATAATGAGTCTGCGTTGTTCGAAATTGTTGAATTTCAGAGCTCATTTCAATGGTGACGTCAATTTTTATGCTGTTTCGTTATTGGTCAGACATAAATCTTCCATTTCCACTCATGAAGCAAGGTGGTCAAGTCACCAATTCATGACATAACAATGTACAATTTTTCGTAGCACCCTGAAAAATAGTTATTGTTCTGTGACGGAAGAGGAGTTTGAAATTGCATCTATGTTGAAAGGTCAGGAAATGTCACTTCATAAATTCTTTTCCAAGGGAAAAAAGTTAGTACTTTTTTCATGTATTCTCTGTTATGCTATAGTTCCGAAGAAAAAAGAAGGGAATAAACACCGTCTCCGAGAAAGAACTGCAAGTCCTTTTAATCTTCTATTTGACTTCGCGGTTACGTAAATTACTAAACAACCACTAAATTCGCAATCTTTGAAAATCAAATCAGCACAGGACTGACAGATATTTGATTACTTCAAAAGAATGATAAATATGCCATCAAAAACAAGCCTGCACCGCAGAAAAACTTCAAATGACAAATTGATATTGAGAAAATGTTACATTAAGGTTGATTCGCACTATACAGCACGGACCGTCACGTAACGACAACGGCACGTACCGGCACCGACACGACAATTATACGCGTACATTCACATTGCACCGACATACATCCGTCAGTTAGCTTTCAGTAGCCGCAATGGATCCATCGTGGAGCGACGATGAACTGGCTCTTATTAGAGTCCCTGTATATACTTTAGACAAGAGTCCGGACACAAAACTGACAGCCGTTGGGGTTTTTAATATTTTGTTTAATTTGGTTTGCCCACCTGACAATGTGACGAAACATCATAGTCGTCTCGCCCACTTTTTTTAATTATTTCGAATTTCTGTCACTGTCACTTTGAAATTTTATGACCGCCAAAATTGTGTTTTAATGCTAAGCAATGTGCCATCTGACGGCATATATCACGTGATCATCAAGTGTGATTATTTGGTAGTAGAATCGAAGGTTATAACAATTGTTCCTTCAATTATGTGACTGATTATCTTATGATTATTCGTTTATACAACCGAATATGGTAGAAACATATCTTCCGAGTCTTTCTGGCAAAATTAATATTTTGACACATCACACTTGGCGTCAAAAACATATCATTTTTGACAGAATGACAGCGCGGGAAAATGAAGGTAAAAATCCCAATTTTGCATTTTGAATTATTTCAATGTCCTGCTGCGTACATTATTGCGATAATTCATTAGAAAAGGAATTCGAGTTATTCAATTTTCCGAATGATCCTTTAAAGATAATGTCATGGAAGAATGCAATGAAACGTCCAGAATGGAGAATTAATTTCAAGAAATCCGCAATATGTGAGGTGAATATTCGAATTCACTTGTGAAAACAGTACAAAAAAGATGAATTTTTGGCCCATTTTGATAGAGATTCTTTCAAGCTAATGGATTTCAAATTGAAAGAGTCTGCTGTGCCGTCAATCTCTTCAAAAAAAGAGTTCCGTCGTCATCGTATTGGGAATTACTGAATAATACGATCGCAGAGAAATAAAATGAGAATGAGATGATGCGGAGAGAAATTGAAAGTTTGAAATCAAAACTAGAAGATTTAGGGAAATTGCAATGTGCTATGTCATCAGTCCCCGGTGTTTTTAATTCAGATCAAATTAAAAAATATACTGGTGAATGTAGACTGCAGGAAGAGGTGGGAAACCGACACAATTAAAATTATATTGAAACAATTATATATCTTATATTTTTTTATATCCCAAAAAAAAACAACTATATTTTCTTGGCTATATGTGATACCACGTAGAACACTTAGATTATCTTTCTTATATCTAATGAAGGAAAGAAATATCTGATGACGAAAATTTGCAATAGCCATCTCAGGAATTGACTACGAAAATTATCGATTTGAAATTTGAACACCCTGTTGTTCATTATTTGAAAATCTAATAGTTATTCTAGTTAAAATAGCCCTATTTCTCACTTCTACCTACGGCTATGAACGGTTTGACAAATAATCTAACCCTCAAAATTGTTTCTGACAATCATTGATACTAGGGGAATTGAAAAGACAGAGCTCGATATATATGTCTTATTCCTTTATTCAATCATCAATGCATTTTTTGAAAACAGAAAAGGACAAAAGTATAGTTGTGTCCGGACTCTTGTCTAAAGTATATACAGGGACTCTAGCTCTTATAGCCTTACTTTTAGACGAAGACGAAACAAAAAAATCGAAAAAACGTAAACGAAGATGGGTACACCCAATATTGGAGAAAAGAAAAACAGAGGGAGAGTATTGGACTTTATTACAAGCTCCGACACGTACCGTACCGAACCGGCAAAACATTCTTTTCGAGAATGTCGGCCGGTGCCGTTCCGTGCCGTTCCGTGCCGTTGCCGGAACGCGACGGTCGTTGCCGGTTAGTATGTACAATCTCGCTTAAACCCGTGCTACGAAATTTTGTCGTGTCGGTGCCGGTACGTGCCGTTGTCGTTACGTGACGGTCCGTGCTGTATAGTGCGAATCAACCTTTATAATAACAGAAAATTATCGGCGTGAAATTTGAAGTTTTTAACAGGGATAACACCTGCGTTGCAGTCATCTTTATCGTAAGTTTCAAGAACTTAACAACGAGAATCTTGGATAAACTTGCAGAAGATCATTGTTGTTTTTTGATGTTTCTAATCAACCGGAAAGTGTGCCGGCCATGAGAGGTTACTAAAAATTGGAAAGAAATCTTCAATAATATTTTCCCCACTACGTAATCCAAATTCAGTACACAATCATACCATAATTGAAATCAGACAAAACTGAAATATTTATTATTTATTTGTACTATTATAGGCTAATATGAAACATTCAACCATCTTGGAATAGATAATTTTCTAGAATTCCAAGATATAAATCTTATCGCTATTTATTTTTATATGGAATACTTCTTATAGTATAACAAGAAGTATGTCATCAATCATCATCAACATATAAAATAATAACTAGATGAGAAATAACAATACAAGTTCACTCAAGTATCAAGGATGGAGCATATTACATGAGTTTCATTCATTCATACCCTAAACTAGACATACAATTATAATTATAAAAAGTAATAATTGTGATACTTCACCAACTCGATATCAAGGCACCTACCAGTTTCTTGATAATACTGGATAAAATATATCTGGTAGGTGATAAAAATGGAATCTGTGAAAAATCCACAATGAATGAATCATTTCGCAAAAACTTTCAAGTATTCGTGATGAAACCTGAATCCAACTTCAATTTTCTTTGAATTGACTAACACGGATTTTCATTCTCAAATATATTTACCACAAAGATTTTTGACAGATCCCATTAGAAATCCGGAGAATAAGCCACGACCACATTCATGAACTTACCATTGAGTGATAATACACTACTAGATTACTAGATCACTATTATTTTCTATCTTCCTTTGGGACATCATAGTTATGTAAAACTTCCTCAAGAATAACCAGAATGTACCTATCTAATTTGAGAATAACTGCAAATAGTCCGAAAAGCTAATTGTGATCCGAAAATTAAACTAAATAATTTACAAGTACGAACCTGTCGCTTTTAAAGAGCAAAGAAGAACCAGAATGGGCTACTGGACTGGTAGAGAATGCATGGCCGCCATTTGGCTGTCTCATTGCTGTTTCATTGCTGTTTCATTATTGGTTAGATAATCCTCCATTCCCACTCATGGAGCAAGGTTGTCAGACCGCTAATTATAATCAAGTTATCAAAAAGTTGTTAGAACCCTATAGTTGAATGAAACTACATTCAGATGAAATATTTCATTTGACCTATTAGAAGGAAGCCATGATATTATAGTTATGTATCTGTGACTTCTTCGAGCAACCAGCTCGTCAGAATATTTGTTATACTCCGTAATAAAGTATCATGTAAATATTGAATATTTACTTGGTCATGTTGGTGCTGAATGCTGAGAACTGACAAGATAACGCCCACAATCCTGTGTTGTCACGTTAACCGGACCAAATGTGTCCTCTAGTGTGAATTGATATAAATATTATTAACTCAAATTCGAGGATACTGTCTGTAGGTTAATCTTGAAGAAGGTATATTAATTATTCCAGATTCTTTTGGATTTTCTCCTTGTTTCTATAAAATAAAAGTTGAGTATTATTTCAATACACTGGTAAGTGAGAAAAAACCAGTTGGTTTGCCTCAAAATTTCACTGCGTTAAAAAAATCTATCAGAGAGCCTAACAATCACCACTAAAATTTCAAGAGAATAGCATCATTAATAACTGAGATATCTGGGTGTATTCGTGAAAAGCGGGACACACTGTTTACCAACTGAACAAGAAGCAATGCTATTGTCTCCGTTCAGAGGAATGCAAGTGGATTCCTTGATTTTTTCCTTTTGGTTCTTATCTTCCGTTCCTATATGATTCCAATATCATTCCACTCTGCCATAATGCCAATAAGAATATGTTGAGTAAGCTTTTATTTTTATCGATATGTCTTCACTTCATATTATACTCTTGTTCTTTTGTCCATACTGAGACAGAACATCCCAAAAAATCTGGAATAACATCATGGATATTACTAATATATAATTGAGATATTATGAATTATTAAATAAATAATATTTTTGAAGTTTCCATTCGTATTTCAACATTAATGGCAAGTGTGCTATAGCCTGCCCTATTTACGAAATCCTGACGTCAGTTTTCATTTGCGTTAGATTTCTAGCCGTTTCAAAATTAAGGTGACAATATTGGTGATTTCAGCACTTTAAAATCGACCGAAAAGTTTGAAAGATTAAATAATGACTCTATCAAAACAAGGAAAATAGTCCAATAGCCCATTACCAGATGGAAGTCCTTGAAATAATATGCGGACTATAAGCGATCGATTTGAAATAGTAATCTTCTTATGACAGAATAAACGACCGTTACGACGAACACTAGAACTTCTAGTCTATAACTATGCACCAAGGATGTTCTATGTGTCCGTACTGAATGGCTGCGAGATAGTCCCTCAGTTTTTGGTACATGGGATTGGGATGGTCTTTCGACGGGATCCGAATCGATTCGCCCATATACTCGATGGAGGTGACAGGTGTGACGATACAAGCTGTACCAGCACCGAAGAATTCCAAAAGCTAGAAGGAATCGAGGATGTGTATATTTATCAACAGTTGAGACTAGAGTCTAGGGCCAGCACCTTCTGGGGAGACGAATTTATCGGAGCGCCGACAACGGACACCTCAGCGGAAACGATAAAATCTTTCGAAGAGGGAAGAACGATCGATATTATTTTTTGTACCTACAGTACCACTCGTAATTAATAATAACAATACTAATATTCATTGATCCCAAGGAATATACAATGTTTATAGAGGTAAACAAAAAATAAATAAATAAATCAAAGATGCAATACAATGAAAGAGAAACAAGGAGATACTTAAATTGATGAAATATATTTCTTCAGTTCACACTTAGATTTTGTGACGAAGCTAATTTATTTTATTCTGTTGGGTAGAATATTATAAATATTTATTCCACAAAAATACAATGATTTTTTCCTGAATTGGGTTTTTATTTTGACAGTTTTCAAATGTTCTTTTTGTCTGGTGTGATGCTCATGGGTATCAGAATTGATATTGAAAGTAAGATTCGAGTGCTTTTTCTTATTATGAAAATGCATACTTTCATTTTGAAGAGGGAGTCAATAGCTAGTAGATCCCTTGGTTTGTATAGTTTATATGGTGATTCCAGAAATGGTAGTTTCCCCACATACTTATGTTCAAAACAGAGGAACTCTGTTAGTCAAGGACATTCTTACGTTTGGGTACGTTCGGCTCCTCAGAAGGTGTTAGCCCTAGACTCTAATAACACCGCTAATACAGTTGGGTTGGGTGTCTGAAAAAATTTGTTATATTGTGTGACAATCGCCCTGTGTACTCACCCTCCCAGATCTTTGGTACTTCAGTAGTTCAGCCATGGTGAACATACGTTCCTCGACCCTACATTCTTTCCACAGTCTCGCTAGTTCAAGGATGGAATGCCGTACCACCCCAGGAAGAATGAGTTCATTGAGTGGTGGAGTGACCAGAACTTTTTCTAAAATAAAAGCGAGATAATTTAATAATAATAAGTGTTGTGGAAACGAAGGATCATGTAGCGTCTGAGCAACAGCTTCAATTAGTGTTTGTCGCCTATAACCAGGATTAATAGCATAAGTACACTGTCTTCAGCGAACATGTCGCGGTTGGATGGTATGAGCGCTCTCATTGCAGCGGTTCGATTTTTAAATGGAACACTGTATTTCATTGCATGTTTAGAGTCTCCCTAAAGAGCTTATTTCATCAATGGATCAAACTTTAGGATGTTGCGGGAATGATTACAGAGATATATAGGGTTTTCAAAATCGAGATTTTTAAATTTTAGGATTTGTTTGTGTCCAAACCATGATGAAAACTTGTCCAAACTATTCATTATCGGTCAAAACGGCTTTCATGTGCCACTTTTGATTCACTATCTATGGTAGAAATTTCGAAATTTCTTCAACCTACGCCGATAAATAATCGACATCACAAGAACAAGGGCCTACCCATTTGTTTCCCAAAGGGATCATGAATACAAAAAATAATTCTCTCACCTCCGTTGTCGTCCAAGTAAACCATAAAAATGTTCATCGTCCCCACCTCAGTGACGTAGTGTTGCGGCCCGTACAGCCACAGCACCTGCTGCAGCCCCCGCTTGTTGGCGTAGCTCTGCACTCGGATGGTGGGGCCGTAGTTGGACCCCAGTTTGCTGCTGCCGCACCCCCCCGGCCACGCCCTGGCATACCGGGGGTCGGCCAGCAGAGAGACTGAGTCTTCTTCCCCAGCCGCCCAATATGGCCCCACGGGGCACAGGATGGCGTAGAGGAGGGCCGATTCGCTCTGGGCCACTCCTAAAGTGCCCTGAAATCGTTTTTTCTCATTATGAAATTATGAAATTATGAAATAATGAAATAATGAAATAATGAAATTATGAAATTATGAAATAATGAAATAATGAAATAATGAAATTATGAAATTATGAAATTATGAAATTATGAAATTATGAAATTATGAAATTATGAAATTATGAAATTATGAAATTATGAAATTATGAAATTATGAAATTATGAAATTATGAAATTATGAAATTATGAAATTATGAAATTATGAAATTATGAAATTATGAAATTATGAAATTATGAAATTATGAAATTATGAAATTATGAAATTATGAAATTATGAAATTATGAAATTATGAAATTATGAAATTATGAAATTATGAAATTATGAAATTATGAAATTATGAAATTATGAAATTATGAAATTATGAAATTATGAAATTATGAAATTATGAAATTATGAAATTATGAAATTATGAAATTATGAAATTATGAAATTATGAAATTATGAAATTATGAAATTATGAAATTATGAAATTATGAAATTATGAAATTATGAAATTATGAAATTATGAAATTATGAAATTATGAAATTATGAAATTATGAAATTATGAAATTATGAAATTATGAAATTATGAAATTATAAAATTATGAAATTATGAAATTATGAAATTATGAAATTATGAAATTATGAAATTATGAAATTATGAAATTATGAAATTATGAAATTATGAAATTATGAAATTATGAAATTATGAAATTATGAAATTATGAAATTATGAAATTATGTAAAGAAATTTGTGTCTAGAATTTCTAAACTTGATGTTGAAAAGAATATGTCGACTTGATTTTTGTTTGGATAGGCTACGCTTAGTCTACGGTCTTAGGACTGCTGGCTGGAGACTGCCCTGCACTGATGAGTCAACGAGCTCGAAACCGGTCTGTAGGTGTCTAGCGCGGCCTGGCTAAATCGAAATCAATAGGCATTCAGGAAAGATTCCCTTGTATCAGTATTCGTTTATACGAGTCGATGCATAGATTTCGAGAAGATGTGATTCAATATTCTGCGTGGCATTAGCCAGGAAAGTAGTTGTTTTTCTCCCGAAATCTACCATTGTTGTTCATTTTATGAACACTGTTTGGATATAACTGAGATTTTTGTATTTAATTAACATTTCATTCCACTTTGAGCATTGTGGCTATTTCATAGTATAAACTACTATAATCGAAATATCTCATTTCAGATGAGTATAGGTACTTACGTCAATTCCAATCATAGAAGGGCGAATGTAGAGGCTGGCTTGTTCGCTATGCGGCACCCATTCCTGATCAATCTGGACCAGCCTCTTTATGCACTTGATCAGTTCTGTGCCGATGAACGTCGGCAAACCGATCATCTCCGCCGATCTGTTCATCCGAATCATATTGAGGTCCGGTCTGAACCATCTGAGTTTGCCGTCCGCTCCTCTATAGACTTTCGTGCCTTCAAAAAGCTTTTGAATAGAAAAAGAAAAGTGATTATGTTAAAACATGATACAGATACCGGACTGGATTTCCTCAATTCATATATCTTTCTGAGTTACTATAATCGTGAAAATATAAAAATGTCCTTGTTGAATGATTTACCACCCCTTCAATATCTAAATATCTATATTATATAGTTTTAGATTAACATTTTTCGTCAGGTATGGTAGGTATTTGAATGGTTGCACATTCCACAAGTGGGTGATATTTTAATTTTTGGGCTATTCACCTTGCCAAATATGACAGTGGCAATATTACGAATTCAACTGACAGTACTGAATCTGCTGATTTTTCATTCCGAAATAAAAAAATTCACTGAAAAGGAAAGATACTTCTGAGCAGACATAATATTCATTCCAAATATATCAACTCGACATTCTGCTGAAATTGTTGACCATCAAAAGGTAGTATGGCTTCAGTGAACTGTTATCATTTTAGAGGGGGAAGGAGTGTGACATTTATTTATATTCGATTTATATTATTTCCGTTGATTTTTAAACATCATAAGACTTGTCTTATCAATAATAAATTAATAATATCATTTTTGATATCCGAAAATGCCTATTATTCAGATGAATGTAAAGGATATAGCTGAGAAAAATATTCGAATTTCACCAGCTGATCAACTGTTCCTGATTACTGATGAAAACCATGAAAACGTGTTCCGAATTAAAGCACTGTTTTTTTTTTATTTTATATTTTGGAACACAGATTTTCAGCAGAGTCAGTAGATCTACCGACAGTACTGACCAGTTGAATTCAGAATATAGCCATTGATGGACTCAAATTACGAAAAGAGGGATTATTTTTCACAGAAGTTATCGACCAATAATTGTTTCGTATCACTTTGAACATAAATCCATCCTTGAAGTTTTTTTTTTTATTTTGATAAACGGGGTTGAAAAAAGAACTAAATTATTTTCTTGGACATAGCTACAGAGTTACAGTTTACGTTTCTGTACTATTTCTGAAATACAATTGACGCTTTCTGAATTTCAATTGAATAACCTAACCTGACTCATCTGGATTATAATCAACGCTTCTAAATTACAATGACTGATCTGAGCAACTACTACCGCTTTTTGAATTACAATTTTTAAATTTTAATGAAAGCTTCCTGAATCACAATTGACTCCTTCCGATTCACAATTTACACTTTTTGTACTTCTATTGATGTTTTCTGAATAATAATTGACGTTTTCTGAATTACAATTGAAGCTTCCTGAATTTCAATTTATGCTTTCTGAATTTCAATGCACTAATCTGGATTACAATGAACGCTTCTGAATTTTTTATCCCATTTATATCTCTTGGAGCTCACGAAATGAAATTCTTATACTAACGCATAACGAATTATACTTTCTGTATTAAAATTGAAGCATGCTGAATACCAATTTACGCCTTATGATTTACAATGTTTGTATTTCTATTGTTGTTTTCTGAACAATAATTGACACTTTCTGAATTACAATTGATGCTTCCTGAGTTTCAATATCATTCATATCAGTCGACTAATAATAATAATAATTATGATAATTAGTTATTTTTGTATCTAGAGCGCGAAATGCTAATCTGGTGATCGAGATCTGATATTTTATATAAAAAATATATTTATTTTCCAATAGGACATAGTTACATATGTATAGGAATAATCAAAAACAGAGAAAAAAACATGCAAAAACATGGAACAAAAAATGCGAAAGACGGAGCAGAACGACAGAGATTTCACATATCCATTATTTCGTACGTTAAAATATTCATCCCAAGAATAAAAACAAATTTTTAGTTAAAACATTTTTCAAGGCTTTGTTAAACTTTCTAGTATCACTATAATTTTTAATCTCCTTCGGCAATCTGTTATCTGACTTACAATGACGTTTTCTGAATTTCAATTCACTATTTTGCATGATTAACGCTTCTGAATTACAATTGACGAGTTCTGAATTTCAGTTGTGAGATGTTTATAATTCCTCTGGTATGCCCTCTCTTCAATTGTTTCGTCATGTGAGGAGGCAAAAGGTTATAAATTTTTATTTCCGTGTAAAGAGGTCCATTTCGAGTTTTTTCATATCTGTAGCTGGGCAGATTACCTGAATTGCATAGTGAAGAACTCTAGCTGCAGGATGGATGCTCAGGTTTTCGAAGGGAGTTATGACAGGCTTCTGCCAGCCTCCTAGTTTTCGGTGGTACTGTATTTTCAGCATGTGATCGCTGAAAAAATGTCCGAATTTCAGATCGGACACTTCCGGCTTGGCACGTAGTCTTCCTGGATCTGCCAGTTTGGTTGTTAAATCGTCATACTGAAATCGAGAGTTGATACAAAAGGCTGTTCGTTTGTGTCGGCTCGACCTGCTAAGCATGATTGTTATGTATGACTATCTCTGTTTACATCGTGGGATGAACAGAGATAACCTTAGCAGATTCATTGCCACTTTAGCAACACAAACGAAGTTAGCTCCTCAATTTTCAGATTCTGATATGATGACCGAGAATAAGATACAACAAAGCGCAAACTTTTTTTTATGTTTTCAAACTGCACTCTCACATAGGTATCTTCCAACTATTATTGAATGGCTGGCAACATTTCGAGTCATTGATACTCCCGGTGCTTCTGACCTTGCAAATACTCGTGGATTGATGATTTACAGAATTTCCAGGCAAACTTCGAAATTCAGTGTTTATGCACCAATATTTTTATTTTGAATTGTAATCAATAGAAATGTTATTACAGTTTTCATAACAAAAATTAAAATCTCAAACTATGAAGTTTTGTGTCTGCGGCACTAGAAATACTGATCAATAGTTTCGATTTCCACAAAATTCATAACAGTGCTAATATCTCCAAGACTATCAATATTTTACTAAGGTCATATTGTGATATTCTGGTCAGTCATGAGCTGGACTATCAGCCCTATACCCTATAAAGGATGACGTTGAGTTTAGGGATACCTTGTATAAGAAAATATCTCTGATTTGATCACATTACAATCCAATATGGCTAATTTCTGGTTTTTCTGGAAATGCCAGACCCCGTTTTTTCAAATGGAACAACCTGTATATTTTTACACATTGAAGTTCAATAGGTTGAAACAAGTGCAATCTTTATGTCAAATGTCATTTTTCTGAATTGTTTATTTATTTTACCTCCTGGGTAAATGAGATCTCGAATGCGATATATAGTCAAAACTATTCACAATGGGTCCCACATACTAGAGAAACATAATTTTTTAGGATGAATCATTTTAGTCACATCACATTTCGATCAAAAATTCATTTTTATCAAATCGAACACCCATAGGCCACCTCTACATGTCTTTCTATAGAACATATATATATCGAGGAGAAACAAATGAACTATCATTTTTGTATTTCGGTGCAGAAACAAATTGTATACATTCCAAAATCAACAACTAGTTTCATGAATTTCCTTGTATGCAGTTCGAATAATTTCTCAAGTTAGCTGTGGAAAACATCATTTCTGGATCTTGTCATAAATATTACATTTCTTTTGACGAAGTTGCTGCCATTTCCAACAAAAAACCGGAAGTCCGCCATATTGGATTGTGATGTGATCAAATCCGAAATGGTTGCTTATATATCTGTACCAAATTTCAGAAAAATCCGTTACCCTGGGTCACCCGGTATTGTCTATCAAGTTAACGTTATCAATTATTGTGGACTGCAATATGTTCTACGATATTGAGCTTCTTTAAAGAAGGAAAGTTGTGGAAATCTTTCTTTTGTGAAGTTTTTTCCTATATTCACTAAAGGTCTGTTCGTTTGTGTTGTTGAACTTGCTAAACAAGTTTAGCAGGTAGAGCAAACACAAACGAACATGCCTAAAAGATTTTCACGCCGAGTGAACAAAAAATGTTCGAAAATCCTTTCAGTGATGATATTATTATATTTATATAGGCCTAAAGGATTTCCATCAAGTAACACCGAGTGAACAAAAAATGTTCGAAATTCCTTTATCAGTGATTATTTTATTATATTTACCCTGAATGTGCACTCTGAGTCTGCTTCTTCAGCTGGCATGGCATCACAGTTTGGAGCTTCTTTGACTTGCAGAGAACATGCCCTTATAGCCTGCTTCAATTTGTGTTGATGACGTAAGATCCATCTGCAGGCCCTCTGTCAACAATTTCGTTTTATTCAAATTGAAATCATACCTATTTATCATTGATGCCAATCAACACAGTTTTTTGTTCATCATCACCTCACTGTAACTTTTGGTTTTCTGAGTTTCTCAACCTGCTCAAAACTCGAATTGTAAAGTCGATTTTGATTCATCCTAATTTTCGACTGCCTCACCGATTTTCAATATTTTCCAAATTTTCCCTCGGAATTTCAGTGAAAATATTACACACCTTACATTTTCGACCGCCCTCTATTCTTTATCCTTACCATAGCAACTAAAAAAAATTCCGGAAATTTTACGCTCCTCTTCCAGAAGAAATTACACTGGAAATTTTTGGAAGTGTTATAATGACATTAACATTTCAACTTCAGATTATGTCCAATTAATTCAATAAGTTGAAAAGTTCCTTGTAAGAATAGTTATTCATTTTACCAGGCAGCAAAGTAGTGGCAAAATTGTATTCGAACATATGAAAGAGGTTGCAGTTTTCTAGAAAAAAGAACCTAGTGTTGAAAATCGTAAACATACCATAAACATACACTATTCTTGAAAAAAACCGAATAACCAAATTCAACTTCAAAAGGACCACGCACACATTATATGGGAAGATGTCTTTCGGTGAAAATGGCTGGATTTTTGATATGTTGTAGCTGTAGTCATTCTAAGTAAAATACTCGATTGGCCCAACTCGATTTTATGACCAGATTCGGTGCTAGTGGGTGAAACATCAGGAATTTTGTGTATTTTTGAGACAAAGCTTAATGAAGAATATGAAAATTTCGTGATATGCATTCACCCTACCAAAATTCATCAAAGATAGATATGTTTCAAGGTTACAGAAAGGATGTAGTTGCCTTTTTACAGGGTGGTCAACATTAAACTGATTTTCAGAAAATCCGAATACTATCGCCTATATGAGATAGCTGATTTATTGAGTTCATCAATGGCGATCGATCAGAAATAAACGTTGATCGAAGAAAAGAAAATGATATTCAATGATACAGGGTGATATGAATAACAGAAGTTGCCAATATACTCATGGCCATAACAGCAAACTGAACATAGAGTAATGACGAATGTTCGTATAACTTCTCATTGTATTTCGTCGGAAAGAATTCAGACAATGGCATCAGAAGACATATTCAGGACTATGCCATGATTAAATCATCTAAAGGAGTATATTGGCAACTTCTGTTATTCAGATAACTCTGCATCAATGATCATCATTTTCTTCTCTTCCATCAACGTTTATTCTGATCGATCGCCATTGATGAACTCGATAAATCAGCTCAGCCTCATATAAGCGATGGCATTAGGAAAATCGGTTTATTGTTGACCACCCTGTAAAAAGGCTACTACATTCTTTCTGTTACCTTGAAACATATCTATCTTTAATGAATTTTGGTAGGGTGAATGCGAATATCACAAGATTTTCATATTCTTCATTAAGCTTCGAAGACTCAAAAATACACAAAATTCATGATGTTTCACCCTCTAGCGCCGAATCTGGTCATACGATAGAGTTGGGCCAATGGAGTCTTTTACTTAGAATGACTACAGCTACAACATATCAAAAATCCAGCCAGTTTCATCGAAAGAAATTTTCCCAAATAATGTGTGCGTGGTCCTTCGATGTATAATGTCCGAGGATAGTCAAGACATCTGTTCAGTTCAGATTACTCTATAACCATGATAGATATCATTCTACAATTTTGACACTATGCCAGTCACATAACATACTCAATTTTGCCACCACGATAAGCCATACTAGGTGGACATAATTTTTTTTATAAATATTCTCAACTTCAACATCATGTACCTCGCAAACGAAGCCTTCTACGACTTCTGTTTATGGAAACTTCCTTATTTTCTTGAGACGCCCTAACATCTCTCGAAGTGCATTCCACATATTACAAAACATCCTGTATATGAACTATTTTCACTATTTTTGTTTCTAGAATCTGTGGTTGAGTAAATATTTCTATGTAATTTCGGGATACTCTGTAGATAGGTACGTATGTTTGGACAAAATGGATTTGTGACTTCCATGAGCGACTATACAGTCTGTCCAAGATAAGGTTGCACAGCATGGGGATCTCGGAAACGGTAGGAGATACGAAGTCGGCTAAATGGGGAAAAAGTTGCGCATTCGGAGGCTCATACCAACAGCCTTCGAAAATGTTCAAGTTATATCGAAAAAAGTGAGATTTTGGAATATCTATTTTATTTTTTTTCTCCGTTATAATTAGAGATACAGTAAAACTGAGAATACTTTTCCATTGCAACTTTTGATGTCGTGTAACGTGGTGATACCGATTTTTCTATGCGACGTTACGTATTCGTAAAACCATCATCAACTTTTGTTTTTTAAATACGGCCCTGATAATTCTTTCACAGATTTTGAAAGCTGTTTTTATTCTGAATTCAACCATGTATTATACAAGGTGGTTTGAATGTGTTTCGACCTATTTTTAGCCATCATCAATGTTTTTTTCGAAATACCAAAGGAAAAATGCCATCAGTTTCACTTATTTCTGATTATTCAGTGTCAAACATTGATGGACTAGTTATACAATACTGAAAAGTGGAAAAAAATCCACTAAATTATTCAATGCAGCGTTTCGAATTGTTTATAAATTGTATTCATATTTTAATCCGAAGGAGCTTGTCATAATTAAATTTTTCGAACTAATTATTCCTATAAGTCTATCAATCGGAACGAGTTGATGAGGTATTAGTTTGTTGGCTAATTTTCCTTCAAAATAAGTGGAACTGATGGCATTTTTCCTTTGGAATTTCGAAAAAAACATTGATGATGGCTAAAAATAGATCGAAACACATTCAAACCACCTTGTATAATACATGGTTGAATTCAGAATAAAAAAAGCTTTCAGAATCTGTGAAAGAATTATCAGGGCCGTATTTAAAAAACAAAAGATGATGATGGTTCTACGGATACGAAACGTCGCATAGAAAAATCGGTATCACCACGTTAAACTTAATCAAAAGTTGCTATAAAAAAATTATTTACAGTTTTCCTGTATCTCTAATAATAACGGAGAAAAATAATGAAATAGAGATTCTAAAAATTCACTTTTTTCGGTATAACTGAAAAACTAAAAAAAAAATTGAAAAATTTTTGAAGGCTGCTGGTATGAGCCTCCGAATGCGCAACTTTTTCCCCATTTAACCGACTTCGTATCTCCTACCGTTTCCGAGATCCCCATGCTGTGCAACCTTATCTTGGACAGACTGTATATACAGGATGTTCAGAAATTATGCACAAAAAATCAACGGGATGATTCTACATGATGAAATAAGAAACTCATTTTATATGTACGTGGGTCCGGAAATGCATATTTTTAAACATACAGTGTGTTAAAACTTTTGAAAAAGATCGGTTTTTTATGAATATCTCAAATGTCCTTTCATCAATTTTCTTGAATTTTGGCAATTATATTTTTTGTCTTGAGGGGCTAATATAGCCATTATTCAATTGGAACTATCGAATCCAGTGACGTCCTAGGAGGTAACCTACCGAATATTATTGTCAATAAAATGTGCGCCACTGATTTTTTTCGAATTCCGTATCTCCATAACCTATTGACCAACTGAAAATACAACATTTTGGTTTCTTAAATTATTTTGATGATTTGCTTCATTTCCATGGTAAAAAATAAATACCAATTTATGAATTTGTGCTTATAAATTTCTTCAAAAACCGGGGTGAAAATAAATGCGTAATCAAAGTCCACAGACAAAGAATAAGTATGAAGATTAATTTTCTTCAAATATTTCTTGATACATGTTTGACACACTCTACAGTCTACACTCTGTATATTGGGAACTATATGTATTCTCGGTCCAGGAAGGCGTAGTTTTCGATAATACAAAGTGTGTCAAACATGTTTTATAAAATATTTGAAAAAAATTAATCTTTATTGTTATTCTACGTCTATGGACATGGATCATACATTTAATTTCACCCATGTTTTTGAAGCAATGTGTTGCACAAATTTATAAAATCAATTGGTATTTTTTCACACAGAAACGTAGCAAAATAGCAAACAATTCAGGAAACCAAAATGTTGTATTTTTAGTTAGTCATTAGGATAGGAAGATATAGAATTCAAAAAAATCAGTGACGCACATTTTATTGACTATAATATTCGGTAGGGTGTCCCCGGGACGCCACTGGATTTCACAATTCCAATTTAATTATGGCTAAATCAGCCCCTCAAGACAGAAAATATCATTCCCAAATTTCAAGAAAATCAGTGGAAGGATATTTGAGATATTCATAATAAATCGATTGTTTCTAAGAAGTTTAACACACTGTATCTTGAAAACTATGCATTTCCGGACTCGAGTATATATGAAATGCTTTCTCATGCAGAATCACTTCCTTTATTTTTTGCGCATAATTGCCGGTATAGCTCTCGATGAGTAGAAATTTTGGGGGAAAAAGCATAGACTACAGTCATTCAGTAATCTTTGGAAATAGGTGTTTCTTATTTTGTTCGCTGTTCTTTTTGATGGTAACAGTTGATAGTACACCTAGATATACCCTGTATATTGGAATAATACTCATATTTTCGTGTATTGAAATGAGAAAAGAAAATCTCGAAGAAGCTAGAGAAATTGTAAGAAAATCTAATAACCGCGTAGATGCCTATTATCTATACGCATTTCGTGTGACATAAATAATATGCAAATTGGTATTACCTGTTGAATTAATCAAAATGTCAAAATCATAATGTCAAGGTTACTTATTCACGTGTTCATTAATTCCCTGGTACCCATTGACCAAATTCCGATCAGTTTCCGTGGAATGACATTTCAATAATTTGGCGATAGCCATAATACAGGGTGCCTATAAATGTCATGAACACATTGGAGGAGGCGATGCCTTGTATCATTTCAGGACCAACAGTTCCTATGAACGGATGAATTCGTTTTCGAGATACAAAAAAGAATTCAGAGTTGAATATTT